CCATATTGCTGATTTCTTTTCCATGAGATTTCGCCTTTCTTTACTGTCTCCACTTGTATACACATACTGTTTCAGAACCTCAGCCTCTTTGCACCTAATGAAGCAGAGTTGCTAAGCAAGTAACAGCAGTGTTGCCATATGACTTCTGATATTGCAGCTCCCTAACTGGGGGAAACTTAGTCATATAACAGCCCTGGTGTTGTGGACTCTTGGTAAGAAATTAATTTCCTCATAGAGAACAATACAGAATCCATATCAGTAATATCTTGCTAGCAGCAGTTTGTTTTGAATCTCTCTTAAAGCCAAGTTAGTGGGCTGGAGATGTGGCTAAGCAGTAAAAGTGCCTAGTGAAAGTGAGGCCCTGAGATCAAATACTAGTACCACCAAAAAATAAAAAAAGTTGGACTACACCAGTGGGTACCAAGAACTAGCACTGATCTATTGACTTTCTTCTTATAGGATTCCCAAAAAGGAACGGACATAACTTTGACAACTCTTGTGAACTTTGTGGATATTACCCAGAAGCCACAGGCACCACGAGGTCAACCCCAAACGGACTGGAAATTGCCATTCGACTTTTTCTTTCCCTTCAAAGCAGCATTCAGCAGAGGGGTTGACTTCCAGAAAGGCTTAGCTTCTCCCATCTGTATCCTGTGCCTCTTACTTCTTGGAATTCTCAACCTACAGACTAAGTGAAGAAAGAGAATCATCAAATTTCAATTTTCCCTATGGGAAACTCTAAGACAGCCTACTTGGCTAAATTGACATTTACTTGGTTTTGACTGAAGGACACCATTTATGAAAATCGAACCTAACAAAGGAGTCTTCATTGTGAAGCACAATATTTTAGAAAAGTAGTGAATGTTCCTGCAAGCCAACAGGTACAAAGTAGGTTCTCTGCTTCTCAAGATGAGAAGGCGCAGAGCCCTCCTTCAGTGCCTGACTAAAGATTTCCAGGATCATCAGCCATCTGCTCCCAGGCACGGTTGGACCAGCAGGAAGGAGCACATTTATGCTGTCTCTCTGTGAATGCAGAATGGCTGCCCTCTGGATATGAGCTGACTATTCAGCTGGAAACTGCTGGCTCAGGATTTGTCTGGCTTTTTTGCCAAGGCCTGTCCACACCTTTTGCTCAGGCATAAGTGGTGAAAGTAATTCTTTTTACTCAGTTTCCAGAATAAATGTGGGTTCCCAGCTGTTTTTTCTACTAGCAAATGGCCTTACCATTTATTCCTCTTCTTTCCTTCCCTTCTTCATGGTAAGGAGAAATAAAACTGATTTGAGATCTTTGTTGTACTAAGTCTGGCAACATGGTAATTTAATTGCCCTGTGACATACTTCATGATTATTTTTTTTCTATGTGAGGATTTTTTTTGTCTTGTTTTATTTTTTTAAAAAAGGAAGCCAGGCATTCCCTGTACTTAATTGTATTTTTTTTTGTCTTTTCTCTTTTCGTACTGGGGATCGAACCCAGGACATTGCATTTGCTAGGCAAGAGCTTGGCCACTGGTCTACATCCCAGCCCCATTCCCTGTACTTAGAAGTTTGAGGTAGTAATATCAAGTGTATGGGTATTGCTACAACAGTACAGACCAGCAAAAATGAAGACCACATTTTAGAGAGACTAAAGATGTTTATTGCCCGTGACTCAAACCAGGCTACTGCCAGAAACAAGTTCCAGTGACAAGGGAGGGGAGACCCTGGATTTTATACAAGCTGGCTACACATAAAATAGGCATTAATCAGATACACTAAAGGTCAGACGGGCTGACATCAACTTCTGACCAAGCGAACAGTTCCTTTCCAATACTTGTGCAGAAATCATGACATGCCATTACTGTCTCTTCTGTATTGTTATTTAGAAAACATCTTTTGGGCTTACCACTAACAATTCAGATAGCCCCACCTTATTTGCCCCCAACTCACATTCCAGCAACAGTCCCACTGAACCATTTTTAGCAACTGAGTGGGGGCTACATTCTGGCAACTGGATGCTGGAAAGTCTCCTCATCAGGAGGGGTAACTTTTATCTACTTCCGTTGCATTCCCAACTCGCAAATATGTCCATCCTTAATCTGAACATTCCTATGATTCAAAGCTCAGTTGAGAGGGTGGACCTCTGTGCCCATACCTAGCCCATGACCATTCTCTTCCTGCCACATATATCTGGTCCAGAGTAGGCTACCAACATTTTCTCTCCCAGGAATTTGGAACCTCCACCAAGGCAAGAAATCATTCAGGAGTGGGCACTATCTGGATGTGTATGGGGAAGCCCTTTTCCACAAAATGTTAGTGAATGGAGAGCCTCTTAAAAGAACAGGTTGGGGGGCTGGCAGGGGGAAGCAGATATGTAACTACAATGTAAAGAGAGAGATGGAGGCTGATACTGGTCCTTAATTTTCTAATTCCAGTCCTTGCCTTTTGTGAGACCCAAGTTTACATACTGCCCTTGGAGACTCTCAGTTACCCCTTTAATTCATTCCTAAATGTTCCTCTTTCTCTATGAACCTCTGGTCCTGTCGAGCCTTATTTCTATTTGCTAAGCAAAAGTAAAATCACTCTAATCAAAGTAGTCCAATTTTTTTTTTCCCCCACATATACAGGAAAGATACCCTGACTTGACTTGTTTGGAGAAACAAACTAGCTCTTACATCTGGTATTTGACTTTTCCTAATCCAGAGTCAATAAGATAATGATAAAATAATTATTTTAATCATAAAAGCAGCAACAAGACAAAAATGTTGAATGTTAGCTGTTTTTGTATTTGATAATTTCTATTTTGAGACAGTTTCTCATTTGGTAGCCCCGTCGTGGCCTTGAACTCTCCATCCTTTAGCCTTTGCTTAAGTGCTAGGATTACTTATGTGCATCACAGTGCCCAGCTTTATACTTGATACCCTTAATAATGCTTTGAGATAAACAAGGGTAGTGTTGGCTTACCACTATCAATTCAGATAGTGTCAGCTTCCTATCCACATTCCCGCAACAGCCCCTCTAGGCACTTTCCGGCAACTGGGTGGGGGGCCACATTCCAGAAAATGGTTGCTGAAAAGTCCCTTTGACCCCTAACGTCATCTACTTTGATGCTTTTACTCTTCACCTCCAAAGAACTGCTCATGTATTTCCTAAGGTATTGGGGCACCATCAGATTCCCAAATACTCAGTCTCTCCCTTTCAAGAAGTGAGTGCTGTCAGCCCCTTTCATTTTGCTCTTTGTTCCTTGATGGGACCTTCTGTCCAATCCTCCTTTCTCCTATGGGCCTTTGCAATAAAGTAACCATCTTCCCAGCTTCTCCTTTTTAATAGCCTGATCCAGTCATTCCAGAACTTGAAAAGTTTGGGTTCTCTGTCTTTAAGGTTCACAAAAATATTTAGTGTAGTACAGAAAACCCATTTGCAAGGGTGCCTAATGGTTTGACTCCCAACTAGACATCTGTCACACCCCCAGGCAGCCTCATCTCAAAGGGCTCTCTGCATATACCATCTCCCCTTCCTCATGCAATCCTGCTCTTCAAAGCATAGTGCAAATGACAACTGTTTTTAAGCCATCCATGAGTACCTGGGGCCCACCTTCTCTTGTGTTTATCAAGTTGTAATGATTTGCTCATGTTATCTGTCTCCTATAAGGAGAGTGAAGCTAACTAAGGTAGGGGACAATGGCTTCCTCTATACTAGGAGAATATCTGGCAGATTAACTTGCTTTCTATTTTGTGCAACTGTAACAATACCAAAGACTAGGAAGGTTACATTTAAAAACAACACATTGATTTCTCACAGCAGTGGAGGCTGGGAAGTCCAGGAAGGTCTGGGACAAATGTTGAGGGTGCCTTTATCCTCACGGGACAGAAGGCAGGTGGCTGACAAGACTGACATGGCTGTAGGAGAGGTCCAATCCACTCCTACAGGTCTTTTTATTAATCTCCCTAATCCCATTATGAGCATGGAGCCCTCCAGACTGCTGCATTGAGGGCTGTTTCCATCACATGAAAGTTTAAGGGAAAGGACTGAGAAGACTGCGAACAGTAGCCAGTGTTTGATGAATGAGAAAAAAAAAGTGTCATGCACAGAATTAAGCACAAAGCACTTTCCTGTCATTAAACTCCAACCAGATGCAGTCCAGATGCAAAGTGCCTATTCTGGACTCTGCCCTCTGAGGAAAAGGGAGGGGAAAAGAAAAGAAAAACACCCAAAAACCTATGCCCTCATGAGATGTTGAAATAATTCCAGTTGTCATACATTAAAGCTCTTGAGCTCAAGCTCAAGGCTAGCGCTCTACCGCTTGAGCCACAGCGCCACTTCTGGTTTTCTGAGTGGTTTAGTGAAAAGTCTCAAGGCCGGCTCCGCCCAGGCTGGCTTTGAACCAAGATCCTCAGATCTCAGCCTCCTGAGTAGCTAGGATGACAGGCGTGAGCCACCAGCAACACACTTTTTTAAATGCAGTATTCTGGCCACTGACTTTAATGGAAAGAATTGGTCTTAGATCTTTGGGGAAAACTTCCAGATAATAAGGTGGGAAATTATTTAACCAGTGCCCAAATTCCCCCTTCTAAATAGCTTGTTTTCAAGAGGGAGATGTTTTCTAAATTGATTCCACCTTTTTCTGAGGTGCTCCCGGGTTATAAACGATCTGCGGGGACAAACACACGGGATGCAACGTACCCGCAGCCGGGAGGGTACCCGCCAGCTTCTCTGTCCGTGGGGAAGGGCGGCGGCTCCAGGACACCTTGGGATCGGTTCCCTCTTGGGGATTGGACGTTGTGGGTGCCTCAAAGCCCCGCCCCCTCCCCTATTCTCCCTCCCCCGGCGTCTGCGGGGCCGCGGGGGTGGGACTCGCCACGTGGAGCGCGGGCTGCATTCTCGGAAGCGTTTACGCCATTGGCACGACGCAGCTCTAGGGTGGCTGGTCGCTCTACGTCAACAGCGGAGGCACCGCGGCTCCCGTTTACTCCAACGCCGCTGACGCAACGCCACCGTGCGGGACGTAGACGGAAGAAAAAAAAGCAGAGAGTCGGCATCCGAAGCAGCGGGAGAACAGCGCGGGCCAGGCTGCGGGTCGAGGGCGGCGGCGAAGCAGGTACGCGGCGGGGACGGCGGCCTGCGCCTCTGCGGAGGCTGATGCGCTCCCCAGCCCGGCGGGAAGGCTGTGTGCGCCCGGCCACCGGCCTCCCTGGGCTGCTTGGCCACGGCGGGCTGCGGGGGCGCGGCCCCAGCAGGTGCAGGGGTCCGGGGGTCAGGTCCGAGGTGGGGGTGGGCGGGCGGCGTGGCCGGGCGGCCCTGGGCGCTCTGCAGGGCTCCCGCACCGTTCCCTGCATATGCCAGGGTTCAAGGGCCCTGGGGTCTGCCGGTGGCTCTCGACTCCGTGCCCAAGCCAGCTGGAGGCTTGACGTCTCTGTGAGCCCGGTTGAGGCCGGAGAGTCCAGAACCAGCCTCCAACGCACTTGCACCGGCGGGGAGGGTGTACCCGGGCTATGTGGGACCACATGGAGACTCCCGGCAGCCTGTGTCTGTTCCTGAGGTTCCCCACAGCCACCACTGCCTTGTGCAGCTGGGCATATGGTGTGTGGGTTGGTAGGTCAGGACTCCAGCTAGATTACCTGCTCCCGCACGCCTCACCTCTTTCCCTATCATTATCTCCTGCCCTCTGGGGTGGAGAGATTTATCTTGAGGCTGTGTTAAGTGGCTGAACCACGTACTGAGCATGCGTTTTCTGGGTGAAGTTTGTTGGGATTGAAGTTCAGTTCTGGTCTACATCTATGAGATAAAGTCTGTTTAGTGTGTGGACAGGTACTTAACAAATGTCCTCAGGCGACTTTTTCACCTGGTGAGATTGTATCTGCACACACACACACACACACACCCTTAACAAATGTCCTCAGGTGACTTTTTCACTGGTTGAGATTGTATACACACACACACACACACACACACACACACACACACACACACACACACACACACACACACACACACACACACACACACACTTTTGCTCTTGGGGATTACCAGTCTGCTTTTTGCAGGCCTAATAAAATTGGCAGAATAATTGGAATGAAGGAGCGGACTCAGCCTACCCACATCCGTGAGAGACAGGTAGAACAGGGGAAGTCTTCAGCAGGTAATGTGGTGGACCTTCAGCATTCAGAGATTTCACTTACCTTAGATGAGAGCCATCTCTAATAACGTGTGCTGTCATAACCAGCAGTGACTACTGGCTTCCTCAGCTTGTGACCGATGGTGGAGGAAACAATGTTTATACCTAAGAGAGAGAGGGGGAGACTCCCATTTATTAAGCACCTGTTGTACCCCAGCACTGTCTGTGCCTTATGTCACGTAATTCTCATAGTCTCTCAGGGTCTTTATGTAGTTACCTTTCATTTACAAAGGACAAACAGAAGCCAAGGAAGATAAAGTATCCAGAAGACACACCACCACTTGCAAGTAGGATTATGAGCCTAAGTCTGACCAGTGACAAAGACCTTGCTCTCCATCATTTCACAATGCTGTCAGTGGGAAGTTTGTAAACCACTTGGGAAAAACAACAACACTAACCAGCTAACCTGGTTATTTCTTTCTGGTTAGAATGTGTACAGATATTTGACAAATATTTTAAGATAAAATGTGACAACTGGTTATATCCAGACTTGAAGGATAAAGTAGCTAGGGAAGGTTTCATAGGAACAGGACAGGAATTGTATGTCTGTCTTTGATTATTTGCCTCATTTGTTTTTTGTCAATCATGAGGCTTGAACTCAGGGTCTAGGTGCTATCCCTGAGCTCTTTTTGCTCAAGGCTAGTACTCTACCACTTTGAACCACTGAGTCACTTCCAGTTTTCTTGTAGTTAATTGGAGATGTGAGTCTCAAGGACTTTCCTGCCTGAGCTGGCTTTGAACTGCGATCCTCAGCTCTCAGCCTCCTGAGTAGCTAGGATTACAGGTGTAAACCATCAGCACCCGGTTTATTTGTTTTATTGGCAGTACCAAGGATTGAACTAAGAACCTTATTCCTGCTTAGTAAAGTGCTATACACTTCAAGCCATTCCTCTAGACCCTTTTTTGCACTGGTTCTTTTTGTTTTGTGCCAGTACTGGGCTTGAACTCAGGCCTGGGCACTATCCATTAGCTTTTTTACTCAAGGCTGGCATTCTACCACTTGAGCCACAGCTCCACTTCCAGCATTTGGATGGCTAATTGGAGAAAAAGGAGTCTCTCAGACTTTCCTACCTAGACTGGCTTTGAACCTTAATCCCCAGCTCTGAGCCTCTTGAGTAGCTAGTATTACAGGCATGAGCTATCCCCCACTCGGCTTACACTGGGTATTTTTTTTGCGGGGAGTCCGGTCACGGGGCCTGAACTCTGGGCCTGGGCGCTGTCCCTCAGCTCTTCAGCTCAAGGCTAGCGCTATACCACTTGAGCCACAGCACCCCTTCCGGCTTTTTTTCTTTTTGCTTATGTGGTGCTGAGGAATTGAACCCAGGGCCTCATGCATGCAAGGCAAGCGCTCTACCACTGAGCCACCTTCCCAGCCCCAACACTGGGTATTTTTGAAGTAGGGTCTCTCTTTATATGATGGCCAGCCTAGGCTGTGATCCTGCTACTTTTGCTTCAATCTGTTTGGAATGACAAATTGGTACTATTGTGCTCAGCCATTGATTGAGATGAAGTCTAGAGAACTTCTTTTTACCTGGATTGGCTCTAAACCATGATCTCTCAATATCTACCTCCCAAGTAACTAGGATTACAGATTTGAGCTTGGCTTCTGGCTCTTTTTGTAGGTATTTTGGAGTATTCACATATAATAATTGTTTAGCAGGTATTATTTAAAGAATGTATTTAGTCCTGTTGTTTGTTTGTTTGATGTGAGGCCTGAACTCTGGGCCTGGGCCAAGTCCCTGAGCTCTTCAGCTCAAGGCTAGTGCTCTACCACTTGAGCCACAATGCCACTTCTGGCTTTTTCTGCTTATGAGGTGCTAAGGAATTGAACCCAGGGCCTCATGCATGCAAGGCAATCACTCTACCACTGAGCCACCTTCCCAGCCCCTAAGTATTATTTTTTAAAATAAAATTACCATTTGATTGGGGAAAAAAAGAATGTATTTAGTGGCAAAACATAGATGATGGGCTCCAAACATAGACCAGAAGCTGACATTATACTTCACTGTGCTACAGAACTGAAATCCACAAACCATCACTTAGCATGTGAAATTGTGTGCCAGGTACCGTATGTATTACAGCAGGGATATACTGTTCTCTCTTCATTTCTGTGCCTTTGGGCATCATAAATTAAAGTATAAATTATAGAGCAATATATGCCATCCCGTACTTTTCTGTACTATGGAGCTAAGTACTACTTTTTCAAGGCACATTTAAGAAGAGAATTGGAATATATCCACCAGTTTATAGAGCACAAGTTAAAGAGAAGCCCACAAATAAAGGAAATATAGTGGAGTTTTGTTTATTTGTTTGTTTTTTACCTTGTAAAAACAGTTGTGTCCCTGTGGCATAATAACATGAAATAATTCTTCTCTGTGTATGTATAAAGAGTCCATGAGTGTGTGTGTGTGTGTGTGTGTGTGTGTGTGTAAAATTATTCTTTGTCTAAGCTTTCAAGTTTGACCCAGAGTGGAAAAGTGCCCATAATCACCTTGTATGGAAAAGTGCCCGTATTCACCTTGTCCTCCATGCTGAGATGTGTAGCCATGACCTCCAGGGGATGTCTTCAAGTGTTCTTTAAGATGCTTGCCCGTAAGCAATCCCCCCTACACTTTTCCACTTCCAGGGATACATTAGGTTTCCGTGGGCAGCAGGAAGAAGGAACTGGCAGTAGCCCCTGGTCTCGTGGCTGGCAGAGATCAAGCTGACCTTTCACATATGCAAGCTGTGTGTTTTGTTGGGATGTAGTAGCAGAAAAAAAGAAAGAAATTGCTGCCTTGACAATCTGCTGGTGACTCCTTACAGTAGAAGTATTATAATGAAGACAGTATCTCTGCAAACATAGCTTGAAGATTTTAGTTATTCAAAATATTTTGAGCTGGAGGCCTGGCTCAAATGGTAAAAACTAAGGAGTACTAGAAAAAGAAGAACTAAGACTGGACCTTGGAAGGAAGCCTTGTTGATTATCTCCTATGATACAGATGAAGTAGCAGTTTCTCTAATACACTAGAGTTTGGAGGAGGAGGATCATATTTTTATTCTGAGAGAATGAGGAGTGGAGGGAAAAGAAAATGAATTGTCTGATATTTGCCATTAGTTGCTTTTCACACATTTTTATTTGTGCACATTAATTGTACAGTGTGGGCAGTTTCATTAAGATATTTCCATACATGTATACAATAGACTTTGATCATATTCACCCTCTTGCTATTTTTTTTTTAATATATTCTGTAGATACTTGGGTTTGTGGCCACATCTCAGCATGTTGAGTCAAGTTTGCTGCTCCAGGTTCCAGCCCTTCAGTCAACGTCTTCTGCCCTGGGTCCAGTCCACAGTCTCCAGATCTCGTATGTATCATTGATGAGTAGGGTGGAAAGTTTGTGTTCAGTATATGTTTCAAGGTTATAAGAGGGGTAGGAGGAGATGTAGTTTGGAAGAACTGCACAAAAACAAGGCTACCTGGTGGTGAAATATTCTAAGTTATTTATATTTGTCAACAAAGTGATCTCTGTAGTCATTCATCTCAATATTCATATAGGCTGGGCTTTTTTGTTTGTTTACCATTTTAAATATAATTATAGTGGGGTACCGGTATCTCATACCTGTAATTGTAGCTACTCAGGAGGCTGAGATCTGAGGATTTTGGTTCAAAGCCAGCCCTGGCAAAAAACTCCCTATGAGACTTTTAGCTCCAATAAACTACTAAAAAAAAAACAAAACTGGAAGTGGCACTGTGGCTCAGGGATAGCACCCAGACCCAGAGTTCAAGTCCCGGGGCTGGCAAAATAATAATAATAATAGTAATAGTAATAATAGTAAATAAAGTATAATTATGTATTTTAATTTTGAGATAATTATAGATTCTGTTAAGGGCTAGGAATGGTGCTATACAACTATAATCCCTGTAATAGCTGTAATTAGGAAGAGAAGACAGGAAGATCCATTTTTAGTTGGATTTTTTTGTTTCCTCTTGAACTTTGGAAATTCTTTGTATCTTATAGATATTAGTATTTTGCAAATATGTGCAGATATTCATACATATTTGCATATATAAGTAGTTGCACATCTGCAAATATTTCTTCCCAGTTTGTTCATTTGTCATTCATTCTCTCAACAGGTTCTTACACAGAGCAAAGTTTTTGTTGTTGGTTGTTTTTTTAATTTGGATGACGTCTAGCTCATTAGCTTTTCTTGCAATGAATTATACTTTTTTGATCAAGTCTAAGAAATCTGTACATATATTTTTAGGTTATGAAGATTTTCTCCTATTCTCTGAAATTTTTATAATTTCACATTTTACATTTAACTCTAAGAAATCTGTACATATATTTTTAGGTTGTGAAGATTTTCTCCTATTCTCTGAAATTTTTATAATTTCACATTTTACATTTAACTTCAATATCCATTGAGTTAGGTTTTGTATGAAGTATGAAATTAAGGTCTAGTTTCTTTTTTTTTTTTTTTTTTTGTCAGTCGTGGGGCTTGACCTCTAGGCCTGGGCACTGTCCCTCAGCTCTTCAGCTCAAGGTGCTCTACCACTTGAACTACAGCGCCACTTCTGGTTTTCTGTGGCTAATTGGAGTTAAGAGTCTCATGGACTTTCTTGCCCAGGCTGGCTTTGACTCGCAATCCTCAGATCTCAGCCTCCTGAGTAGTTAGGATTACAGGTGTGAGCCACCGGCACCCAGCTTCATTTTTTGAACTATGGATACCAGATTTCTCATCTTCATCTGTTGAAGAGTTGTTCATAATATTTTGAGTTGGCCATCTCTTTGATATCACTTATTTTATGTGTGCTAGCACTGGTGCTTGAACTCAGAGTCTCACACTCTTGCTCAACTTTCTCAAGGCTTGAATTCTACCACTTGAACCATATCTCTACTTCTCAGATTTTTGCTGGTTAGTTGAATTTCTCAGAATTATCTGTTTGGACTGGCTTTAAACCATGATCTTCAGATCTCAGCCTCCTGTGTAGCTAGTATTACAGGCATGAGCCATTTGCACCTGGCTTAAAACCTTACCAGTAGTCTATCTCTAGGTCTCACTGTAAGATGACTTGCTTATCATCATCTAGAAAAATTTATTTCACATTGGTGTAAGAGTAGAAGAGTTAAAAGTTTAGGATCTAGAGCCAACCTCCTTGAGCTTGAAAACAAGCTTAATTGCTTAAAATTGAATACTGACTTAAAACAGTGACTGTGTGTGTATAGAGAGGTCACAGTTCTGTGGGTTGGCATTTTGGACCAGGCTTAGCTTGCAGTTGTTTGTGTCAGCTCTCAGACTGGCTTGGCGCTGATTACTGAGGACCAGGGGGCCCCTTGTGGGATCCTGGTTCATCAGTGTTCCATATGGACTCCATCCTTTAGCAAGCTAAAGGATGTCCATGGCTTCTTCACATGTTCTGTGGGATCCCAACAACAGCAAGAATGGAAGTCGCAATGCTTCTTGAGTCTTATGCCAAAAATGTATGCAGTGTTGCTTCTGCTGCATTGTCCTGGTCCAAGAAGTCGCCAGGCCAGCCCAGATCAAAGGAGTAGTCAAATAGATTCCACCTGTTAATGGTAGAAACTGCAAACTATTGTGGCCATTTTGTAATTTGGTAATGTTGGTAAATTACTTAATTTCTTTTCCCTCCTTATTTACAAAATAAGACATAATATCAATAATAATAATGCATCAAGCTTCTCTGCTATGACAAAATAACCTGAAAAAACTCGGCCTAAATAGGAGGAATGACTTAATGATTATATGGTTTGGGTATTTCAGCCCATGGGTGACTGTCTCCGTTGCTTTCAGTCCTGTGCAAAGTGGCATGGAAGAAAGGCAGGGTGGGGGGAAGTTGTTCTCATAGCCACAAGAAATTAAAGAGAGAGAAAGGAGCCAGAGATGAAATTTGTCCTTGAAAGGCATATCCCCACCAAGCTTCTTCCAGCTAGACCCACCTGCTAACAGCCCATTCTGCTATGAACTCATCAATAGATTAATCCTTTTTTTTGGTCAGTCGTGGAGCTTGAACTCTGGGCCTGGATGCTGTCCCTCAGCTATTTAGCTCAAGGCTAGCGCTCTACCACTTGAGCCACAGCACCACTTCCGGTTTTCTAATGGTTTATTGGAGATAAGAGTCTCACAGACTTTCCTGCCTGGACTGGCTTTGAACCGTGATCCTCAGCTCTCAGCCTTCTTAGTAGTTAGGATTATAGGCAGGAGCCACTGGCACCCGGCAGATAAATCCTGTAGTGAAGTTCATACTCTATGGAAGAATCACCTCTCTGTTGTGCTACCAGCTGGCTACCAAGGCTTCAGTACTTGAGCCTCTAGGGAGACACTTTGTCTCCAAACAGTGATGATAATGATGGCTAATATGTTCTTAGAATCCCAGCTAATGTTGAGTGTTTACTTTGTGCCAATTCCTGTTTATTCATTAACTTGCTCCATCTCTCATAACGACCTTATGGAGTAGATAAGGTAGCAAGTGAGCAGATAGAGATACTGAGTTATATGTAGCTATGCTATCCAGGACTAATATAGTATATATACCATATATGATTTCTGTAGTGTGTGGACATAATGAGCAGAAGAGCAGAAAATAAGGTAGGCAAAGTGAAAAGGTATATAGAAAAAAACAACAACATGGGAGGGAAGTCATGCTAGGTCCCTTCTTGTGGCTTCAAAAACAGCTTCATTGATTACTGATCATGGTGAGATAAAGGACTTTACTGACGTATAACCCATAGCACTTTTGAAGAGTATGGATAACCATCTTCCTACCCCTCCACACCTTATTATCTCCTCAGACCTACTAGAGAAAAAGACTGACTTAGGGGCTTACAGCCTGATTGCTCATGCAGATGTTGTAGATTTTCCTTGTATCAGTCAGCTTCTTATCACTGTGACAAAATACCTGAGAAAAATCAGTTAAAGTATGGAAAGGTTTCTAAGGTTTCTGTTTATAGTCTCCTGGCCCTGATGCCCTTGGGCCTGTGGTGAGGTAACTTGCCATGGTGGAAGTATGTGAGCAAGGAACTGTTTGTATCGTGGTGGCCAGGAAGCAAAGAGAGAAAAGAGGAGCTGGAGTCCTCCCATGCTCTTCGTGGGTACACCCCCATGACATTAACTTCCTCCCACTAGCTCCCACCGTCGAAAGCATGGATGGGGACCTTTTTTCTGTGGTAGGGGCCATTAGAATTTTTTTTAAGTATGTATATTTTTTTCAAAAAATATTATTGTGTGTCACTGGGGTTTTGAACTTAATGCCTTGCTGTCATCCAGCTTGTTTGCTCAGCTGGTACTCTACCACTTGAGCCAGCCTCTAACCCAGCTTTTTGTTGGTTATTTTCTGCTCATACTCCCTTTGAACTAAGATACTGTAGATCTCAACTTCCTGTGTAACTGAGATTACAAGGATGAAACACCAGTACTGAGCACCATTTGAATGTTTATAACATCATTACAGGTCATACAAAATTAACAGTAAAGGCAGATGTACTGGCAGCTAGTGAAAAGCATTACATTGTACCCCATGATTCCATGGGCCTTATAGGGTCTGTGGGCCAGATGAAGGTTGCCTACCTTTGCAAGGTTACGCTGCCTCCCAGTGACACCACAGCCTGGCCACCAACCTTTTAGCACATTTCAGGTCCAAGCCATAACAGTCCTCAGTGCTAACTGTAAAAAGCCTCATACAGTATAGAACATAAAAGATGTTCCCAAGAAAGATAGAGCCAGTCTGGGAACGTAAATGGCATTGCCAACCAACTCCCCAAATTCCTGTACTCCTTAATACTAGGACCTACTGGACTTTACTTTTTCTTTTTTTAATTGTGAAAATACCATACAGAGGGGTTACAATTACATGGGCAAGGTAATGAATATATTTCTTATCAAGCATTGTTGCCTCCCCTTTTGTTTCCCCTTCCCATCCCTTCCCATCTCCTACCCCCGCCAACCCCCCTGGACTTTACTTTTTCATCCACTTGGAACCTTGCTGATAGTTGTGACCTCCTCTTGAACTTTGTCAGTTCTCATATGCTTTGACCCAATTGTCTGCAGCCAAAATGACCTGCAGCTGCTGGGCTCTGAGCCAACACCCTCTTCTGATACAGACTGTGAGTAACCCCACTCATTCATGCTAGCCAGGCTGCGGGGTCCTGATTGGCTTCTACCATTTGATCACCTGGACTTGGAAGCTGGCACTGTCTGCCCCTGAGGTCCTCCATCAAGCTGCCATACCCCTGCCCATACCCTTCTGTAGAACAAGACAGGCCCTGCAGTGGACATCAGAGTCAAATGGCTAGCAGGTGTCATCCTAACAGCTTCCAAAGAGATTTGTCTTAGTTCTGCACTGACCTCTGCAAGCACCACTGAGGATCACAGGCCCAAACCCAAGGGAGTCTCTTCACCTATAAAGTTACAGAGACCAAACCTGCATGTGTACAACTTTGAAACTAGGCTTAGGTGTGCACATTGTTTAGGATGGTACCCCTGATGACTGAGGTACTTAACTAAGGTAGTGAAGAGGGAAGCCCAGACAACTTCCCCTAGCAAGGGGACAGTGCACCTGTGGATGTAGCAAGGATGCCAGGGCCCCATGTGATCACGGGTTCTCCTTGTCTGAGCAACAGGGTACCAGGAGCTAGATGGCAAGCTTATTGTGAATAAGGTCAGATGTTTTGTTTTGTTTTGTTTTTTTTGTGTCCATCCTGAGGCTTGAACTCAGGGCCTGGACACTATCCCTGAGCTTTTGTTCTCAAGACTAGGGCTCTACCAGTAGAGCCACAGCTTTACTTGCAGCTTTTTAGTGATTAATTGGTATAAGAGTTTTAGACTTTGCTGCCTGGGCTGGCTTTGAACTGAGATCCTTAGATCTCAGCCTCCTGAGTAGCTAGGATTACAGGTGTGAGCCACCAGCACCTGGCTTCTAGAATATATTTTAAACATGGAATGTGGCATGAGAAAACTGGACACTTTAAAATCTTGTATTTTACCAGTATGTTTTCAGAAAAGATTATTTTATTTATACTCATTACCACTGTGTTTGAATGTGTCTGTGACAGGGTTCTGGATGGGACTCTGAATAGAAGTAGAATGAGAACATGCTCTACATATAGTTCAGGTTTTTTGTCTGTTTCATTTTTGTTCTGAGAAAGGGTATCACTATGTAGCTCATGCTGGCCACAAACTTGAGATCTTTCTGCCTCAGTCTCTAGAGAACTGGGGTTACAGGTGTGTACCACCATGTTCGGATAGGTATAGTTTGGAGGATTTTGTGTGTGTGTGTGTGTCAGTTGTGGGGCTTGAATTCAGGGCCTGGGTGCTATCCCTGAGCCTCTTTGTGCTTAAGGCTGGTGCTCTACCACTTGAGCCACAGTGCCACTTCTGGCTGGTGAGTAGTTAATTTCCAATTAACTACTCACAAGAACCTATCTGCCGAAGTTGGTTTTGAACCATGATCCTCAGATCTCAGCCTCCTGAGTAGCTAGGATTATGGGCATGAGCTACCAGCACTGACTCTTTTTTGAGACATGGTATCTTGAACTCCTGATCCTTCTGCCTCATGTTCCTAAGTGCTGTGATTATAGACATGTACCACTATGCCTAACTTAGGTATAGTTTGATATACTGGTTTCACTCAGGTAATGATGTAAAGCTATTTTTGGTGGATGGCTGATACTGTGAATTCAGAATTTCACTGGAAACTATAGTCTCTTTTTTCTTTCTTTTATTTGGCTTTGTTTGGGGAATACAGATCGGGTCCAGCCTCCAGCTGTCACACATGTCCGTTCTTGGAGCAACATCCCCTTTATCACGGTACCCCTCAGTCGTACGCATGGCAAGTCCTTTGCCCACCGCAGTGAGCTGAAGCATGCCAAGAGAATCGTGGTGAAACTGGGCAGTGCGGTGGTGACCCGAGGGGATGAGTGTGGCCTGGCTCTGGGGCGCCTAGCCTCTATTGTTGAGCAGGTAATTGCCAAGATGAGAAATTCTGATGAACTTCATGAAATGGGATTTCCTACTGTCAACTTGTAAAAAAGTAATCTTGATTTGAGTGCAATAGCTTTAACCTAATTAGAAAAACTCTTCCCATGTGAATACAGGGAGAGACCGGGTCGCATGGCAGTAGAAAGTGATGTCAAGCAGTAGAGCTGGTGCCAGGCTGTTCATCCCTCAGACTTCTTAGTGATAGGATCTGTGTGTCTGCAGTTCGTTTTCGTGACACTGTTTGCTGGACAGGCCCTGTGTCTCTTGATTCATGCCCTTTTTAGCCATTAATTTTTTTTTTTTTTTTTGGTTGGTTGTGGGGCCTGAGCTCTGGGCTTGGGTGCTGTCCCTCAGCTCTTCAGCTCAAGGCTAGCACTCTAGCATTCTATCACTTGAGCCACAGGGCCACTTCCAGCTTTTTCTGCTTATGTGGTGCTGAGGAATCGAACCCAGCACCTCATGCATGCGAGGCAAGTACTTTACCACTGAGCCACCTTCCCAGCCCTCATCATTGAGTCTTAAGCCATGCTGTGCATTAAAATCATCTGTGAAACTGGAAGTGCCTGAGCTTCACATCCAGCCATTTCAAATATTTGTTTGTAAAGTGAGGTCAGGTGCAGTGGATCACACTTGGAAAGCAGAGACTAGGAGAACTGCAGCTCAAGGCTAGTTCAGACAAAAAGTTTACAACACCCCCATCTTAACCAGTCATCTCTTCTGTACTGGAAGTATAAATAGGAGGATCATGGTCCAGTCTGGCCTGGCCATAAAGTTAAGACCCTATTCAAAAATAACATAACATAAGCTAAAAGAATGGGAGGTATGGCTCAAGTGGTAGAGTGACTACCTAGTGGACACAAGATCCTAAAGTTTGGCTGGGATTGTGACTTAGTGGTAAAGTGCTTGCCTAGCATGCATGAAGCCCTGGGTTCGATTCCTCAGTACCACATAAACAGAAAAGGCTGGAAGTGGCACTATTGCTCAAGTGATAGAGTACTAGCTTTGAGCAAAAGAAGCTCAGAGACAGTGCCCAGGCCCTGAGTTGAAGCCCCAGGACTGGAAAAAAAAAAAAAAGATCCTAAGGTTCAAATTCCATTTTTTTTTTTTTTTGGGGGGGGGTCCGGTCATGGGGCCTGAACTCTGGGCCTGGGCGCTGTCCCTCAGCTCTTCAGCTCAAGGCTAGCGCTCTACCACTTTAGCCACAGCACCACTTCTGGCTTTTTTCTTTTTGCTTATGTGGTGCTGAGGAATCGAACCCAGGGCCTCAGGCATGCAAGGCAAGCGCTCTACCACTGAGCCTCCTTCCCAGCCCCTAAATTCCATTTTTTTTAAGGTTAGGTTTCCAGGTTATTCTGATGTGTAATCAGGGCCGAGTACCCAGAAATGAGCTGAAGTTTTTCCATGACAGCTGTAACTCAGCTTTATCCTCGATAATCATACATTTAGTTTTTAAAAGGCAAATTTGGAGAGAGGGAGGAAAGGACTGACATTGTCCAAAAAGAAATGTACTCATTACCTGACTGATGTAACTGTAACCCCTCTGTATGTCATTGCCTTTACTTATTTCCAGATATATGTAAAGGTGACTCTACTGTATATCACCTCTAAACAACAGTAAAATAAATTGTATAAAAAGAAAATAAAGAAGTTGCCCCTCAATGAAGCATTTTATTAATACAAAAAAATTTAACAAGAGGCAAAATTGCTGATGAGTTAGTATTAGGGAACTGCTCACCTGAACTTAATGGAAGAAGACCTTATCAAATCTTCTTTCATGATTGAGTCCATCGGGTCATTCGGTAAATATTTTCTACGGAGTAGATGAGTGCATTTCATGCTGCTATAACAAATACCAATTTGGTTGTTTATAATATCAGAAATGTATTTGGCTAGTAGTTCTGGAAGCTGAGAAGTATAAGATTGAGAGGCTACATCTTGCTAAATGGTGGAAAGGCCAATCAAGCTCTTTTATAATGTATTAATCATTCATGAGCACCTCCCACTAAGCCCCCCTCCCAACACTGTTGCGCAAAACTTCCAACACATTCAAAGCATGGCAAAGAGACTTAACTGTTGTCACTGTCCTGGGAAGCCAGACACTCTTAAAACAGGAAAGTGGTTTTTCAAGGCAGTAAAGATCTGAGTGAGTGAACCCAAATGACAGTGGTTGACAGCTCCAGAGACGGGAAAATCTAATGAGAATATGGTTATTCTTAGGCCTTCCTACAAGGGACTCAGCCTAGGCAACAGAGGGATAAGGGTCCAGGTGCACAGTGTGACTGGTGCCCCTGAGCTTCTGGTGTTCTAGGGAAGGGACAGATAGGCACTAGGATGGATTCCAGATGGAAGGCACACAGAGGCCAAGGACTTGAGCTGCGGAGCAGTGGTGCTCATCAGGGAGAATGGAAAATAAAGTGGATCATTTGTGTAGGCCAGGCTCTGGAGCCAAGTAGAGCAGTTGGCCTTCCATCTCAAAACAGATGAACAATTTTAAGTGTAAGAGAAACATGGTAAAGGTTTGCTTAGGTCACCAGCTCTTCTGCTAGGGCTGCTGCAGGCCTGATGGAAAGGCTCTAGCAGTCAGAGCAGTGCTTGATACACAGTCAGCCTTCTTGTCCCAGGCATCTAAGATGGGCTCAGGTGCTGGCCTGTGGTTTCCCCTGGATGTAGATGCAACAATTTGAACATCAACCCATTGTCATCCTCCTACCTAGAGAGGAAGGAGATGGTACAGTGACTTGTAGTGCATTGGGGAGGGTGGTACACTGGAATGTGGACTTGGGGCAGATGCTCTAACCTTCCCCTGTCTTGATGCCAGGTATCAGTGCTGCAGAACCAGGGCCGAGAGATGATACTTGTGACTAGCGGAGCTGTTGCCTTTGGCAAGCAGCGCTTACGCCATGAGATCCTTCTGTCTCAAAGTGTGCGACAGGCTCTGCATTCAGGACAGAACCAACTGAAAGAGATGGTGAGTGCTGCTTTTCCAACCCTGGGGCAGATCTATCCTTGCGTCTTCTTCCCTTTCCCAACCATACTTTATCTGATTGGTGGATTACAGGCAATTCCAGTCTTGGAAGCTCGAGCCTGTGCTGCCGCCGGACAGAGTGGGCTGATGGCCTTGTACGAAGCTATGTTTACCCAGTACAGCATCTGTGCTGCCCAGGTAAGAGGATGGGTATCCCTGAGGGCATAGGACCTGTGAGAGAGAGTCTTGTGAAGCAAGAGGCTTATAAACAGAGGTCTATAGCCCCATGACAGGATATAATAGTCTCAGCCTTATCACTCGCTAACACATGAGGCGTCTTCTAAGTGTTTTCCTGATATGAAAAATGAGGATATTGGTGCCTGCTTCACTGAGTTTTTGGAAGCACTCAATGAGAAAATATATGAAAAGTATTCAGGACAGTACCTAGTAGCAAGTGTTTAGCTGCTGAACATAGAAAGTCAGATGTCACTGGGTGCTGGTGGCTCACGCCTGTAATCCTAGCTACTTAGGAGGCTGAGATCTGAGGATCATAATTCAAAGCCAGCCCAGGCAACAAAGGCCAGACTCTTATCTCCAATAAGCCACCAGAAAACTGGCGCTGTAGCTCAAGTGGTAGAGTGCTTGCCTTGAGTTGAAGAGCTGAGGGACAGCTATCAGGCCCAGAATTCAAGGCCCACAACTGACCAAAAAAAAAAGTCAGACGTCCATTTTGCTGGCCTTTTTGATTTCAGGTAACTTGCTTCTCTTGACACCTGGTTGTATTTTATAGTAGGTACTTGTTAAGCTTTGGAAAGAGAAATGCTAATTGTTAGTTGGCCTTTCATTCGTAAGGGAAACATTTATTGGGCACCTGTAGTATACCAACCAGTCTGTGAGCATGGGGGATACTGTGGTAAACCAGCTAGACAAGATTCCAGTTCTCATGGCACTTAGAAATTTTGTGTGATTACCTCAAACTTTATTTCTACATTATTTCATTATTAAATTTCCTGAAATGTTTTCAACTGTATTTTATTTGGCAGTTGAGGTATGTACTTACATTCACACAGAAGTCACTTCATAGCACAACTGGAAAAACAATCTTTACTCCCTGGGTTATTTTCAAGCCCTTATGCTGCTTTTCGTACTCTGATCAGATGTTATTTTACACAGGCAAAATTGTTCTATATACATTGATTCTTGTTTTGGGTTTTTTTTTTTCTCTTCGGGGGGAGGCAGGATTTGGGAGAAGACAGTACAAGAGGCTGAACTTGGGGGTTATACTTGTTAGGTAGGCTCTACCACTGAGCCTACTTCTCCAGCCTCTTTTGGAGGTAATATACTTTTATGTCCTGTTTTCCCTGGCTTTGATCTTTCTACTTGTGCTTCCTTTATATCTCTGGAATTACAGGAACACTCCACTGCACCCAGCCACTAGTTGAGACAGAGTTTGAATTTCTATTCCCAGCTGGCCTTGAATAGCGTCTTCTCAAGTAGCCAGGATTACAAGCTTCTGCTACCACTCTTGACTGTTTCAAGTTTCATGTCTTCCTTTCGTGTTGTTTTTCTGGTTCTCCATCATTTTCACAGTTGTCACCTTCAATGTCTAGTAATAGAAAGGCCTGGGTTTGTCTCTTTGTCACTTGAGGTTATAATCTTAGTGTTATTTGTTGGTGGTGGTGTTAGTATAAATACAATAGAAGCTGGGTGCTGGTGGCTCACGCCTGTATTCCTAGCTACTCAAGAGTCTGAGAGCTGAGGATCGCGGTTCAAAGCCAGCCCAGACAGGAAAGACCTTGAGACTCCTATCTCCAATAAACCAACAGAAAACTGGAAGTGGCTCTATGGCTCAAGTGGTAGAGCGCTTGGCTTGAGCTGAAGAGCTGAGGGACAGCGCCCAGGCCCAGAGTTCAAGCCCCACGACCAACAAAAATAAATAAATAAATATAATAGAAATCTTTATTTCTATCATCTATTTTTTCAACTCTCTCTTCTCTACAATCCAGTGACATTTTGAGTTTTTGTTGTTGTTGTGTTTTGTTTTTTTTATGTGCCTAAAGTCAAGTGTGGGAACTTAGATCCAGGAGCTATGCATTTTTACTATCTCCCCCACACACACAGCCCCCCTGCCAGGATTGATGCTTTTTGAGATTTTTTGTTATGCTGTTTGAATTGACCATAGCACTAAATGCCAGTGCATATCAGCTAGTGTTTGCACTAATACCAAGGTGGAAAGAGCTCTGTTCCCTCCAGTTGCCAGCAAGCACCAATGCCTGGGGCCCCTGCTCCCCTGCTTTGCCCTTCCTCTCCTGCCATCATCTTCTTATCAGCCTTCGCTCTTTGCACCTTATCCTATGGCCCCATGTTTTCTTTAGTGGACTTGTATAGATGACTATTATCACTAGCTTTTGAAAACTACTCAAGTTCCCCTCCACCCCCTCAAGCTGAGACTTAAGTACAGTAACTTATTTCTGCTTCTTAGAAGCGAAACTGCATTGTACACATAAATTGATAAGTTGTACAACTGTTGGAAGTTTTGTTTTTGTTGTTGTCGTTGTCAGTGGTAGGGCTTGAACTCTGGATCTGGGGCGCTGTCCCTCAGCTCTTCAGCTCAGGGTGAGTGCTCTACCACTTGAGCCACAGCACCACTTCTGGTTTTCTGGGTTAATTGGAGATAAGAGTCTCATGGACTTTCCTGCCCAGGCCGGCTTTGAACCAAGATCCTCAGCTCTCAGCCTCTTGAGTAGCTGGGATTACAGAGGTGAGCCACCAGTGCTTGGCTGTTTGAAGATTTTAAAAGGACCTAAACTGATTTGCATCTCAGCTGATTGGCCTAGTCCGGGCACAAATTTCTCATCTGCCTTTGGAGTGAGATCCTTAGCCCCTGTTTATGAAACTGTTCTAGTGACAGACTAGATCTTTAGACCTCTGCTTGCCTCTCTCACCTACATACTATATTCATTGTCTGGTCTTACACCACATGACTGAAATCTGTATGCTCAGCTTTGACTCGATCCCGTTTCCTATGGAGCTAAACCTTTCTAAAAAGTAGTTCATGATCTTTCCTTATAAAATAATATGCTGTATTCCATCATTTCCCAAATCAGCAGCTGGCACAGGGCTGGCATTTCAAAGGAAACAGCAAATTTTTTGTCCCAATTAGTGAGTGAATTATTTCCCCCAGTCATGTTATCACTTTACTCTCATCACCCCAACTCTAGAATAGGACTTAACCATCCCTGCTCTGAATGTTTCAATACCCTTCTTCCTGTCAACTCACTCAGGTCTTTGCTGCTTCAGCTGCTACATTATAGCAAGGCCCTTTTTCTTTCTTTCTTTTTTTTTGGGGGGGGGGGGGGTCCGGTTGTGGGGCCTGAACTCTGGGCCTGGGCGCTGTCCCTCAGTTCTTCAGCTCAAGGCTAGCGCTCTACCACTTGAGCCACAGCGCCACTTCCGGCTTTTTTTCTTTTTGCTTATGTGGTGCTGAGGAGTCCAACCCAGGGCCTCAGGCATGCAAGGCAAGTGCTCTACCACTGAGCCACCTCCCCAGCCCAGCAAGGCCCTTTTTCTTAAACACTTAAACAACTGTTCAGTTGTTCTTGAGCTTCAGGATTTACTACCATTTTGTTTCTTGCTATCCTCTCCTGTTAAACTTTCCCTGAAACGCTGATTCAAGCTAGAAAACATACCTTCTAACCAGCCCCTCCCTCAGCTTGTGACTGAAGGCTCACTTTCAGAATCCCACATCCTCAAACAGTTCTTCCGAAGCATAATGCTCTGCTTCAGAGCAGGAACATTGATAAAATAGTGCTATTCCATGTTGTCTAATGCACTTTTCCATGAAGGCCAAACTGTTCATTCACTCACTCATCAGATATACAAGTGTTTACTATGGCTAGATACAGAAATACTTTTCAAATTAATAGTCACTAATCCTCTCAGTGTCCCTTTAAAGACATATCAGTTTTCCTAGTTTTGTTAAGTGGATGAGATTTGATAACATCTGTGAATAAATCTTCCAGATAATTGTAACTTGGTGGGAAGAGGGGCAGAAGGCCTGAAAGAACTGGATAAGCATCAGGAGTTTTCTGGTTTTTGTTTTGTTGTCGGTCGTGGGCTTGAACTCTGTCTAGGCACTGAGCTCTTCTACTCTACCCCTTTGAGCCACCTTGCCACTTCCAGTTTTCTGGTGGTTAATTGGAGATAAGAGTCTCACAGACTTGCCTGCCTGGGCTGGCTTTGAACTGCAGTCCTCAGTTCTCAGCCTTCTGAGTAGCTGGGATTACAGGTGTGAGCCATCAGTGCCCAGCTCTGAAAATATGTTTCATTCCAGTCTGTGTGGAGTCCAAAAGTCTAAAGTTTGTTCCCCGGTTGTGAGCATCTTATATGTTATTTGTAGGAAGTTCATCAGGCTCATTACATTTCATCCTTACTACATTTTGTATTTTTTTTTAATCCTTTTAGATTTTAGTGACCAACTTAGATTTCCATGATGAGCAGAAGCGCCGGAATCTCAATGGAACACTTCATGAACTCCTCCGGATGAACATTGTCCCCATTGTCAACACCAATGATGCTGTTGTACCACCGGCCGAGCCCAACAGTGATCTGCAGGGGGTAAATGTGGGTAAAGTATTCTTAAGGGTTGAGCATGCTGGCAATACTAATGCATACTGCGCTGCATGTACTAACACTGCTAGTTTGGCATGAGCAAGGTGGCAGAATTGGGAGAGAAGATGCATCACAGAGCTGTCCCTATAGGAGCTCTTCTGAGATTGGGGAATTTCACTCACTGGGTGAGGCAGTGTCTTAGGCTGCGCTGTGAGCATGGCTTGTGTGCCAGTGGATAGAAGGCTGCATGTCTGGAATTGGGGTTGCCAGTAAGTATTGTAAGTTTTTCAGGCAGAAGGGTGGGAGCTGTCATCCACCTCCCCAGGGTCATTGGTTTTGCCTGCCAACCTCGCGGGATGGTTCTGGGAACTTCTTCTTTTGGACTGCATAACTCACTCACTTGCTGCTTCTTTCCCTGCATTCTAGGTTATTAGTGTTAAAGATAATGATAGCCTGGCTGCCCGTCTGGCTGTGGAAATGAAAACTGACCTCTTGATTGTCCTTTCAGATGTAGAAGGTACAAAGTCATACCTTCCTTTATCTTCCTGCGTGAATGCATGAGTGTCCCTCCTTGTCTGAGGCCTTTCACCTTTTTTTTTTTTTTTTAACAACAGTTACTTTCTGAGCCATATAGTCTAACAAGGAGTTTTTGTGACCCAAAGAGGGTGGGTCGAGTCTGGAAGATGCAATATGAAGGCTGAAATATTATTTCCAGGTGCTTTCGGGATTTTATACCAGCTTTACAAAAACAGAATCCACTTGCTATACAACTCACCTGTTTCAAATGTACAGTTCAGCAATCTTTAGTGTATTTACACACTCATGCAGCCATCCTAGCAAACAGTTATGGAAGTTATCATCATGCCAACAAGGAATCTCACACCGCATTAACTGATGTTCCCAGCTTTTACCAACTCCCCAACCTTAGATAGTGCACAGTCTGTCTCTCTGTGGATTTTCCTGTTCCCTGACACTGTATAAATGAACTATATCTTCATCAACATCACCTCTTTCAACATTTTTACCCATCCCTCCTCCATTCACCCATTCCCTCCATTTCCTTTTATTGGTAAATAATACTCCACTATGGATATGGTACATTTTGCTTATACATTCAACTATTGGTGGAAATTTGTGCTGTTAGGAATAATACTTCTGTGAACATTCATGTAATTAGGGGCAAGCATGTTTTTATTTCATTGAAGAGAATTGGGCTGGGAGTAAAGCTCAGTGGTAGAGTACTTGCCTATTATGCACAAGTCTTCAGTTCTACCCCCAGCACTTCAAGAAGAGAAAATAGAATTCTTGATTCATATGGCAACTGTGTCTACAAAGCCTTCTTTGGAACTACCACATTTGTCACAGCACCATTTTAAATTTCCATTAGAAATGTATAAGAGTCTTAGCATCCCTGTCAATAGTTGTTGTTATCTGCTTTTTTGTATTGTAGGCATCCTAATGAGAAAGAAATTGGTACTTCTGTAAATCAAAGGGGTTTTTTTATTTTGTTTTTTGTTGTTGTTGTTGTTGTTTTTGTCGGTCATGGGGCTTGAACTCTGAGCCTGGGCGCTGTCCCTCAGCTCTTCAGCTCAATGCGAGTGCTCTACCAATTGAGCCACAGTGCCACTTCTTGTTTTCTGAGTGGTTTATTGGAGATAAGAGTCTCACAGACTTTCCTTCCCAGGCTGGCCTTGAACCATGATCCTCAGATCTCAGCCTCCTGAGTAGCTAGGATTACAAGTGTGAACCACTGGCACCCAGCTTGTAAATCAAAATTTTTTAATGTAAATCATGGGACAGCTAATTTTAACTTAGAACCACTATAGAAAAATCTAATAGTCTTCATAGCCACCACCCTTTTTTCTTTTTCTTTTCTTTTCTTTTTTTTTTTTTTTTACTGTGAAAATACCATACAGAGGGGTTACAATTACATGGGCAAGGTAATGAGTACATTTCTTATCAAGCATTGTTGCCTCCTCCTTTGTTTCCCCTTCCCATCTCGTCCCATCTCCCCCCCACCCCAGCCACCACCCTTTTCTTAGCTACTACTCTATTCTTTGCATTTCCCTTCCTCTTGGCTCCAGTTTGATTTTCCGTTTCCCCACCTTCTTAATGTGTCCCCAATCCACATTTTGACATACCTATTAAAAGTTAGTTTTGGCCAAATAGTGTGCGCTAGGTGCTATGTCAGTTTATTCAGTCTTGCTAGTAACCCTACAAAGCATATAGCTAAGGCCAGTTACACAAATGAAGACATTAAAAATTAAGTTGAGATCACTTAAATAGTGTATCCAAATTCATAGAAAAACTACCTTTTATTTCTCCTACACTGCCTGGGCAGGTAAAGGACAGGAGTTTGTTAAGTCATTGTTCACAGCCTAATTGCAACTAGGCTCTACTAATTGCAGCTTCAAACACCAGAATTTATTTATTTATTTTTTATTTATTTATTTTTTTTGGTCCGGTCGTGGGGCCTGAACTCTGGGCCTGGGCACTGTCCCTCAGCTCTTCAGCTCAAGGCTAGTGCTCTACCACTTGAGCCACAGCGCCACTTCCGGCTTTTTTCTTTTTGCTTATGTGGTGCTGAGGAATCGAACCCAGGGCCTTGAGCATGCAAGGCAAGCGCTCTACCACTGAGCCACCTTCCCAGCCCAAACACCAGAATTTATCACTGGCATTCTTGGGCTATTAACTGTTGATTTTTTTAGACATCTACCAAATACTGATTCTTGGAAGAGTATCTAAATTTTGAATTGCTATTGGTGGGGTTAAGAGGCTGTTGCAAAGGAGATCAGGCAGATAGCTGCTCAGTCCAAGCCTGTCAGCTTACAATACTGTACCTTCTGGGAAGAAATCAGCTCAAAATCCTGAGGAGCTGTGGAATACTAGTTGAGCTAGACAGAGGCTATGGGTAGTTTAGTCTTCCTTTTCCTGTGCTTGTGACAGGCTCAAAGTTTGCTCTACTTTGTTTTATAGTGGACATGATTTCCATATATATTTCCCCCTGTTCAATACTGTCATGAAGAAAAAGTGGTGATTTACAACCAAAGACATCCCCTAACAAGACCTTTAGCCACAGACGGTGCCTCCCTGCCTGGGCCTCCCTCAGGTCTTGATTTGACTCCCATTTTTTTCAGACTTCTCTCTTCCTTTCCCCTTCTAAGGTCTTTACTCTTTCTGTCAAGTGAAATTGTGAGGCTTTGTAACTTTGCATTGTATACATCCATTTTCCTTGGCTCAGTTACATAATGGACATGTGCTTTATGGTGATAAATCCAGACTGAATGCCAAGAGTCATGAGCTTTCCTGCTGACTCAGCCCCGCTTCCACAACTCACTCATAAAATGGGGAGTATAAATCAGTGCCTGTTTCAAAGGGTATGGAGAGAGTTAATGAGTACCTGTTTCACATGTTATCCTGCTCTGAAACAGTCTCATTAAATGGCATACTACTTCTGAGCCATTTCTACAGTAGCACCCCCCCCCCCCCTTCAGTTATATACTTATAGTAAAGTAGCAGTGGTAGAGGTGAGGGCATTTGCCAGTGGACTCTGAGCAGGTTAATAAATTCCATGCCAAGGATATGGCCATGCTTAGAGGCTAGGAAAGGATCTAAGAGCCTGTGAGCAGGTGAGTCCTGGAGCTGCTTCATAGTATGACTCCTGAATCCTTGTTATCCTCTCTGGTTAAGCAGGTGGTGGCACAGTGGTTTTCTCCTCCTAGCAGGTGCCTAGGGAGTCTCCTCTAGGGGACACATACTTCTATCAAAGCAGTGTCACTGATTTTCCTCTACTTTTTAGGCCTTTTTGACAGCCCCCCAGGTTCAGATGATGCAAAGCTGATTGATATATTTTATCCTGGAGATCAGCAGTCTGTGACATTTGGAACCAAGTCTAGAGTAGGAATGGGTGGCATGGAAGCCAAGGTAAGATGGGTACCTGAATTGTCTGTAGCAGTCGGAAAAAGTCCGAACAGTATTTATCCTTTTTACTTTTAAAATGGTTTGCGGATTAATGGTTCTGATATTTTACATATATGCACATATCTAAATGCAGGCTTACTGAATATTGTGTAGCTATGTTAAATCAGCTGAGTATGTATTTTTATTACTATTATAAACTCAAGGATAGGGACTATGTAATGTTCAATTTCTAAATCATCTATCATCAGCGCAAATACTTTTCGAAATTTTTCAAAATTTCTTTCTCATTAATTGTCCTAAGAAGCTGCATGTCTCAAGGCCCAGAATCATGTAGCAGTGGTAGTGATGAGAGCAAGAGCTTCATTTGAACAAACAAACATAAAAAAGCTAAATTGACTTATGATCAGACTCGGCTTAAAGTCAGGGCTGTTCATTGAGCTGCCATTATTTTAAATGTAACAAAATGCAGAAGTCAGGAGCCCTGTACTGAGAATCTCTAAGGAGAGGTTTCACCCTCAGTCAATACCTGATGGGCTGGACTGGGAAAGAATTTGAGCTGTACATCTTTTCACAACTTGTGAGCTGTTAGAACATTCCTGTGTTAACTTACTCAAAATTCAATTATACATATTTTTTGTGAGTACAAAAATGTGACTGGCTGGGTCTGAATCTGTTCTTTGACTCAAACTTGTTCCTTAGGTGAAAGCAGCTCTCTGGGCTTTGCAAGGTGGCACATCTGTTGTTATTGCCAACGGAACCCACCCAAAAGTATCTGGACACGTCATCACAGACATCGTGGAAGGCAAGAAAGTCGGCACCTTCTTTTCAGAAGTAAAGCCTGCTGGTAAGTCATTCTTTATAAGATTGCAAGGCCTATGGGTGATAGGTCGTGACGCTGTAGCATTAGGTTAGAGATTGCAGAAGTAATAATGTCGTGAAGTCTGGAATTTTCAATACTGTTTTCAAAATTGGATTTTGACTAACTTTTGTAAACTTCTGACTATCCTGTTTAGTTAAGCTTCCTTTCCAAAATGACTAGGTTCAAAAACAAGCTTCCAGTTTTTCAAGAAACATGCTGTCTGTGCTAGATGCCCCAAGCTAGTAAGCACTAGTGATACAAAGGTGTGTAATATATGGTATGTGCTTGAATTTCTCTCATGTGCTCACCAAGGGTTCAAGAAGTGCCTTATGATCTGCTCACAAAGGCAAACACATTAGGACCAGTAAGCTGAGGTGGAGTTGAGAGGAACTCTAAAAGGTACAAATTATGTTGTGCATACTAACAGTATAGGAAAGTTTATTTATGCCTGAGCTACACTGCCATGTTCTTTTGCCATTTCATTGGCCATATCTGACGCAGGCACCAGGACTCAGGGCCTCTTGCATGTGGCAAGCGTGTTGGGTGCTGGGGACGTGAGACAGAGCCAGCCGTGGTCTGATGCACGTCCATATTCTTTCAGGTCCTACTGTTGAACAGCAGGGAGAAATGGCCCGATCTGGAGGGAGGATGTTGGCCACATTGGAACCTGAGCAGGTAAGAAATTTGACCTAGGGTTTTGTTAGTTTTCAAAGCAAGTCATGCTTATTACTCAGTACAGCAGTCAAACCTGCTGATCCTACCTTACTATAGTATCCAGAGTTATCTGAATTACAGGTCTCATTCAGGTTTGCTCTGCCTTTTTTCTTTTTCTTAATTTTACTTTCCCTTAGGTAGATCTTTTCTTCATAACCTGAGTGTTTTGATCAAAGGCATCATGAATATGATGAAACCAAGAAAGCTACCTATTATTCCTGCCATGTAGCAGGCATGGAAGTGTAGGAAAAGTAACTCTCCCCATCCATTGTCTCCCCTGCCTCACCTGTGAAATGGGAGCCTGAGAGCCATAGTTGATGCCCTGCCTAAGTGACAACAGATTTTCATGAATTAGACTCTAAGCAGCACATGCAGTGAGGCTTGACATGGTAAGGAAGGCACAGGAAACTCCTGCTTTCTAAGCTGGCATAGGTAAGGATGGACTTGAGAGTGGTGGAGATAGAAGATTGGCCTGAGAAGGGATAAGAATTTAAATTTTACTGTAAATTGAGAAAGAAAGAAAGCAAAGTAGGAGCCTAGCTTTACTCCTTCAGTAATCACCATGTCCTTTGCTACATTTCCCAGTCTGGGAGGGAGAAAGACCTAGAGTCTCTTCAGGCATCTCTCCAGGCTTGGCTTTAGTTTAGTTTAGTTTTTTTTTTCTCCCCTCTTTGATCAACTTCATCAAGTAGTTGACATCAAGTAGTTGTCAATCCTAAATTTGTAAAGATGTGTATATGACACTCATTCCCATCTCTTCCCTCTATCTTATGGATAAATTGTATAATCTGTCTTGCTCCCACTGCTGGGCCATGGTTTACTAGTTACACTGATTGGGAATGGTAAAAGAAAAGGATCAGAAAGAAGAAACCGGGATATTGGTAAACAAAGGGGGACACAGCGGTGGGATATGAACTCCAGGAAGTAAGAGGAGTTTACAGTGGTGACTTTGGCTTTTGGGGCAAGGCCTGGCACTTTTGGGCCTTCTGGTGTGCAATCTTAGTGGATTAATGTAGCTGATTGGTTCTTTTCCAATGGTTTGCCTTTCTTCTAGAGAGCAGAAATCATCCATCATCTGGCAGACCTGTTGACAGATCAGCGAGATGAGATCCTGTTAGCCAATAAAAAGGACTTGGAGGAGGCACAAGGTAAAGAGTCCCTTGTGGAGAGTTTCTGTTTTATTTATCTTTGTTGTTCTTCTTCATTTTACCAGTAATTTACCTAAAGGCAAGCTTGTTACAGAAGAAATTATGTTACACATCATCGGTACCCACGGTGCATGGTGAATACTAGGTAACCTTTTTCGAGCTCTTCCTGTGCTGATATCCTTCCTGAATACTCTAGTAAACCCATGCTCTCCCCAAGCCCCCCCACAGGTGAGCAGGGGCTGCGGTAGCAGGTTCAGGACCAGGAAAGGAAAGAGTCTCATTGCTTTAGCATTTCAGCTAACCTGCTAGCAATTCTTGAGGCTGTTCTGTTAATAGGCCTCATGTAAAGGGCTTTACCAACAGGATTGCATTTCTATATCACAACACAGCATGTCAGAGGGAGCTACTGTTTATTATTCCTGGTTTACAAAGGGGCAGCTGAAACTGATATGCTGCCTCTTGCCCCACACCATATGGTCAGAGATGGACCTGGGATTCGAGCATAGATAACACATTAAAGGGCTTATAAGTATAGTGTGTGCAGCCTATGATGAGTCGTAGGTTCATTTTAGTTCATGGAGTCTAGTTTGAAGTCTTCACAGAGTGAGCACCAGGTGTTCTGGTAGAGTAGGGAGTGGGCAGATGGATGAACTTGGACCACAGAGGAATTAGAGCCTTCTTTGATTCTTCTTCTGTCTTTTCCACATTCAAGTAATAGAGTTAATTTTCACTGTGCCTTGAATTTCCTTTTCTCTTGAATACATACGCCTCCTTAGCCTAACAAGGCTCATCAGCTATTCTTCTTTGCCAGTCCTAGGGCTTGAACTCAGGGCCTGGACACTGTCCTTGAGCTTTTTTGCTCAAGACTAATGCTCTACACTTGAGCCACAGCTCTACTTCTTTTTGATGGTTAATTGGAGGTAAGAGTCTCACAGACTTTCCTGCCTGGGCTGGCTTTGAACTCTGATCCTTAGAACTCAGCCTCCTGAGTGGGATTATAAGCATGAGCCACCAGTGATTTATTGTGTGTGCGTGCGTGCGTGCGTGCGTGCGTGCGTGCGTGCGTGCGTGCGTGTGTGTGTGTGTATGCACGCGCACTAGTTCTGGGGCTTGAATTCAGGGTCACAGTACTGTCCCTGAGTTTTTGTGCTCACGACTAGAGTTCTGTAGCACTCCACTTCCAGCTTTTTGGGTTATTGGAGATAGTCTCACAGACTTTTCTGCCTGGGCTGACTTTAAACCACAGTTCTCAGATCTCAGCCTCCTGTGTAGCTACGAATACAGGCAAGAGCTGCCAGCACCTGGCTGACTACACACACACACACACACACACACACACACACACACACACACACACGCACACGCACACACGCACACACACACATATGTATATATATTAAACTCAGGGACTTGTGCTTGCTAGGCAAGTATTCTACCACTTGAGGCACAACTCCCAGTCCTGTTTCCATTTTTTTTTCTCTCTTTTTTTTTTTGGTCAGTTCTGGGGCTTGAACTCTGGGCCTGGGCACCATCCCTCAGCTCTTCAGCTCAAGGTGAGCGCTCTACCACTTGAGCCACAGTCCACTTCCGGTTTTCTAGTGGTTTATTGGAGATAAGATTCTCATGAACTTTCCTGCCTGGGCTGGCTTTGAACCGTGATCCTCAGATCTCAGCCTCCTGTGTAGTTTGGATTACAGGCATGAGCCACTGGCGCCTGACTTTGTTTTCATTTCTTAAAAAACTTGGAAGGGGGCTGGGAAGGTGGCTCAGTGGTAGAGTGCTTGCCTTGCATGCATGAGGCCCTGGGTTTGATTCCTCAGCACTACATAAGCAGAAAAGGCTGGAAGTGGCGCTGTGGCTCAAGTGGTAGAGTGCTAGCCTTGAGCTGAAGAGCTGAGGTACAGCGCCCAGGCCCAGAGTTCAAGTCCCACAACTGACCGAAAAATAAAAATAAAAACAAAACCACTCTGAAGTGGAGTTTACAGAGTCTCTTGAATCTTTGTATTATTAGAAAGTCAAGGTATATTTTCAAAAATGGGAGTCTTTGAAAATACGTAGTTCTTGGGGAAGGAAGGGATGGTAAGGGAAAGCAAAGGAGGAGGTAACAACACTCAATAGGAAATGTACTCATTCCCTTCCTCATGTAACCTTAACACCTCTGCACAGTATTTTTACAATACAAAATATACAAGATATAAAATGTGGCTTCAAAAAAGAAAAAAAGAAAATGTCTAGTTCTTTGCAATTAAAATAAAAGAACTAAACTCTAGACCTATGATCTAGGTTGTACAGCTTATTGATAGGCTCTGAATTCTGATTCTAATAATGTTTCTCTGGAAATATACAGGACACACAGATGGTTAAAATTAGTGTTTGAAGAGATGGAAATGTTTATTGCTCTGACTTGATTATTACAGGTTGTATATCTATATTGCATTCTGTATTGTACTTAGTAAAGATGCACAGATATTGTATCACAGTTATAATATTAAGCCAACTACAGAGGAGCATGCCTATAATCAATCTCAACTACTTAGGAGTCTAAGCTAAGAGGATTTCGAGTTTGAGGCCAGCAGACCCTATCTCAAAAAAATAAAAAGTACAAGCTTGGTAACCCACTTTGACTCAGCAATCTTAATTCAGGGAATTAATCCTAGGTAAATATTTTAAGAGGAGGAAACAGATATTAATATAAATACTTAGGGAAAGATCATTTATCACATTGAAAAATTGGAAATAACCAGAATGTCTAGTAATACGTACTTGGTTACGTACACTAAGTTGTATACACTCAACAGACTACTTAGTAGTAATTAAAATAATTTTTTATTATTGTATTTCATTTTATTTTTTTGTTGTTTATGGGGCTTGAACTCAGGGCCTGGGTGCTGCCCCTGAGCTCTTTTTCCTCAAGGCTAGTGCCCTACCTCTTTGAGCCACAGTGACACTCAGTTTTCTGGTTGTTAATTGAAAATAAGTGTCTCACAGACTTTCCTGGCTGGCTAACTTTGAACCAAAATCCTCAGATACTAGTAGTAGCTAGGATTATAGATGTGAGCCACCAGTGCACTTCTAAAATAATAAGTTTTGTATCATGGAAAACATACTTGCATTGTAAGGTGAAAACCTAGAATGCAGCATTAAACATACACTATAATAAAACTCAGTTCTTACTTAGCACATGAGGGAATATAAAGAAAATGGATTAATTGCATGTTACAATGGTTGGTAGAATGATGAGTGTTTTTTTTTCATAATCCCATCTCAGCATTAATCACATAATGATTTGTGATGTGTTTGTGTGTAGACAAAATTACACTGTGTATATACTACTTGAAATTCTGTGTAAGCGTGTACTGTAATTTAACTTTTGAATTTTGGAAGAAGATATACCTGTGTTGCTGCTTATAGAATAGTTCACTCACTATAAAAAGTTACAGTCATAAAGACAGACAGGTCTTTAATGTCCTTGAAACCTTACAGCCATCTCTGTGTGTGCATATATGTCTGCAGTCATTGGTAGTAGGGTCATGTTATACCTGCTGTTTCTTAGTTGGCATTTTTCACAGCTTATTATTATACATGGTGACTATTATAGCCCCTCATCTGGATCTTGAGATCAAATCCAGTTTCTCCCTATTATGAAATGCTTGTCTTTGTTGCATGCAGTCTTTCATGCAAATGCTAAGCTTTTGGAACTGGGAATGCTGGCCCCAAGGTGTGGATGGCTCACACTGCCAAGCTATTCCCCAGAAAAGGCTATGGAAATGGCATATTATTGTCTTACTGAGACTCCTCTGAGTTCCATACAGTCACATGGGTCAGTAAGACATCAGGGGGATGGCTATAGCCTGCCTAGATCCGCCTCTTTATCACAAATCCTCATCCCCATTTCAGGGAGACTAGCAACCCCCTTGCTGAAGCGCCTGAGCCTTTCCACATCTAAGCTGAACAGCCTGGCCATCGGGCTGCGGCAGATCGCAGCCTCCTCACACGACAGTGTCGGGCGTGTTTTACGCCGAACTCGAATTGCCAAAAACCTCGAACTAGAACAAGTGACTGTCCCAATTGGCGTTCTCCTGGTGATCTTTGAATCTCGCCCTGATTGTCTACCCCAGGTATGTGATTGTGATTAATTGAGGGGAACTGGGGCGTGGGGAGGTGAGGGGGAGTTTAGTTAGAATAATTCTTAGCATCAGATGTAAGTCTCCTAAAGACTGTTGCAAGTGTAGGAAAGGGAGAGATGCCCTTTTTTTCACCACATGGCTCTAAAGGTATTTAGTGTTCTTGATTCTTCCAATAATTCTAAAGTAGGAATTACATATATCCATTTTACAGTAAAAGAAATTGAATGTTAGGGCTGGGAAGGTGGCTCAGTGTAGAGTGCTTACCTTGCATGCATGAAGCCTGGGTTTGATTCCTCAGCACCACATAAGCAGAGAAAACCAGAAGTGGCACTGTGGCTCAAATTGTAGAGCACTAGCCTTGAGCTGAAGAGCTGAGGGACAGGGCCCAGGTCCAGAGTTCAGACCCCACGACCAACAAAAAAAGGAAAAAGAAAAAAAAGAAGGAAAGAAAGAAAATTAAATGTTATAAAGGTAAATATTACTGACACGGTTAGGCACAGTGGTTTAGCCTATAATCCTACCTACTTAGGAAGCAGAGAATGAGAGGATTATGGTTTGTGGACAACTCAAGTAAAAAGTTTAAGAGACTCCATTTCAACCAATAACAAGCTGGGCTCAGTTGTATAGCTGTCATTCAATTACATGGAAAGCAAAAATAGAATTGTAGTCCAGGCTGGCCTGGAATAAGCTTGAAACCCTGTCACACTTGTATGGATGGAGCTGTTGCTGGAGCCCAGATCAACCCATGGCTCTGCAACATGAAAGTAAGTTTCCAAACATCTTAGTTCATGGTGTTCTTTGTTCTCTGACAACCAGTTCTTGCTAGCCTGTTCTAGTCATTTATGTAATAACTGGCCTTGCCCATGTGAAAAAGACCCCTAGCTTATCAGTGACTCAGATGGATTCCTGGAGGCAAACTAATTAGGAAAAAAAAAAGAATGTGTACGGGAATTGGAATGTAGCGCTCTTTAAGGATTGTTGAGAACACGTGTATGCAGGTATAAAGGTCCTGCCAGCAACCATGCTGTGAAACACAAGGTAGCCTTAGAGAATGGCGTCACTGGGTTACCTTAAACTCAACTGGACTGTCCAGTAGGATAATAGTCCCACTCTCTGAGTATAAGGCATAGGGGACCAGGGGAATCTGAAACACTCTGTGGAGGTTCTCTGCTGTGGCTTTAAACTAGCTTCACCAAGACCTCCCATTTCATGGAAGTCTGTGCTTGGCCCCTGGCTGACACTGTCATACCATCCCGGTAGCCAAATGCCTACCTTGTAGAAATGCCCAGAGGTGACAGTAAAACTCCTCTGTGCTAGGATAAATGGTCCTGAGTGTGTGTGTGGGCTCTGTCCACAGAGTGCCTGCCACTAGGCGCATACCATAGCTGATTGCTCAAGGAAGTAGGGTTTTCTCTGCTGCCAAAGTTTCTCCCCCTGGGATCTTAGCTCCCAGTGGCAATACAGAATCTACAAATCCTAAAATTTGGATGCAGAATATGCTATGTATGCATTTATCTGCAGGATTAAGGACTCCTGATCTGAAGATGAACGTGGACAAGCAGTTTTTTAGTAAAGTTATTTTCCCTGCCCTATGAAATCATTTATCCCAAGAGAATTCAGAAACGTAAGCTTCAACCTTAGGATTGGTGTCACTAACTCTGCTTGGGGAGGGTAACTAACCCTTCTCTCAGGAGACCACACATAGCACATGCTCCCTCTCCCCCATTACTGTCCGGGGCTAACAGGAGCTCCAGTCTTCTCCATTCTCTTAGTACTAGGGTGTAACTCAGTGGTAGAGTACTTTCCAGGTATGTGTAAGGCCCTGGGTTCAATCTCCAGCAACATAAACCAAACAAAACAAATGAAAACCAATTCCAGGATCAGAATAGAATGTGCCCAACAGTGCTGCTCAGCCTGGACAGAATCAAGTAAAGCAAACGCTTCTTTGGCCTCATGGTGGCCAAGGTGGCTGGGAGCCTCATGGCCCTGATGACCGAATTCAGGTCAGATTGCTAATGGTACCGAGGAAGCCGTAGAGGTTAGTTCCTCAGTATGATGCCCGTGGGGCATCATTGCCCTCTCTGGGCTTGGGTTTAAAGTGAGGTAATTTTAATTCCCTGGGATGATGTGAAAGTGTGAACATAGTAAACAGTGTGCTGGACAAATGCTCACATTATTGTTTCTCTTGTTTTTCCCTTTGATCTGCAGGTGGCTGCCTTGGCTATTGCGAGTGGTAACGGCTTGTTACTCAAAGGAGGGAAGGAGGCTGCACACAGCAACCGGATTCTTCACCTCCTCACCCAGGAGGCGCTCTCAATCCATGGCGTCAAGGATGCCGTTCAGCTGGTAGGTGTCCAGAGTGAGCCAAGTCATGTCTTAGGGAACATGAAGAAAGCTTAGGCCAAAACACTTCTACAGCCAGCTCTATCGGCAGATCCTGTGAGCCAGCGGACATGAGGCTGTTCAGCACAGCCAGCAGGCTCACCCAGACAGCTGGGTCCTGTCCCTGCTAGTTTATAAGGATGTTGATTCAGTCTTAATCCTTTAAGTCACAGCATGACAGACCCTGAGTGTGAGGCCTGGGTTCTTCTCATTGCTCCAGTGATGTAATTTCATTAGGTGCACTTTAAGACAGTTGGTCATATTCCGTTATGCATAAGAAGGCGATCATGAAGCCACCTCTGTCACAGTGGTCACTCTGTAGAGTTACCCCGAGAGGTTTGATAGTAACAGCTATGGTTCATTGAGTCCTCAGGACAGCCCTTCAAGGAAAATACCATTAGTTACTAGACCCATTTCTTCCATGGGAAAAAAACATGCCCAAAAAACATCACCCAACACCACCCTGTCTGTGATGGGCAGATTTCAACCTAGGCCACCTCCAGATCCTTCTCTTTTTTTCTATGGATCCCCTCACTCTAGCACCTCAGGAGTCTGCCAGCAGCTGGAAGAAGGATTCCATCCAGTCGTACTGCTTGGCCAGTGTCAAATGTGGTTTCTGTGTGGCAGCAAAGTGAGAGAGAGAGCTCAGACTTTAGGTATTTGAATTCCAGTTCCAGGGCTTTCTAGCTTAGATAGGCTTCCACTCTTTTCCCTTCTCCCTCCTCTCTAATCCTCCTTTCTTCTCTCCCTCCCCCTTTCTTCCCCTTCTCTTTTGTTCCTGGCCTTTTTCCCTGCAGAGGTATAACAAACCTAAAGTAACATATACCGATCTTAAGTATAACAAACCTTTTTAAAGTTCCATGTAAGATCCTCAGTGAGTAACCATGAGTTGTGTCAACATGTAGCCCAGTGCCAGCATGCCAGCAAGCTCCTTTCTGTCTTTCCCAGCTACTGTGCTCTACCCATTCCCCAAAGGCAACCACTTTTTTATTTTTGGTCAGTCCTGGGGCTTGAACTTGGGCTTGGGCACTGTCCCTCAGCACTTCAGCTCAAGGCTAGTGCTCTACCACTTGAGCCACAGAATCACTTCTGGTTTTCTGGTAGTTTATTGGAGGTAAGAGTTTCATGGCTTTTCCTGCCTGGGCTGGATCTCAGATCCAGATCTCAGCCTCCTGAGTAGCTAGAATTACAGGCATGAGCCATCAGTGCCCGGTGGCAACCACTTTTTTGACTGCTGACACATTCAATTACTTTTGCCTGTTATTAAATAGAAATGGAGTCATTCAAAATGTACTTGTATAATGTATACCATTTGCTCATCCTACAACATGACTTTCACCCATATTACCACATCTAACAATGATTTCCCTTTCATTGCATTGTAATATTCTAGTCACATCAATGTACTTACTACAGCTCATCCTTTCCTCTGTTGGTGACTTCTTTGGATTGTTTCCAGTTTGGGGATCTGTGGAATAAAATTGCCAAGAACATTCTGGCACATATCTTTCTGCTGTAGAAGAAATAACATAACCATATGAAGCACAATTAAAAATCCAAGAAGATGGGCTGGGAATGTGACTTAGTTGGCAGAGTGCTTGCCTCACATGCATGAAGCCCTAGGTTTGATTCCTCAGTACCACATAAACAGAAAAAGCTAGAAGTGGCACTGTGGATCAAGTGGTAGAGTGCTAGCCTTAAGCAAAAAGAAGATCAGGAACAGTGCCCAGGCCCTGAGTTCAAGCCCCAGTACTGGCAAATTTTTAAAAATCAAGAAGAAAAAGCAAAATGCCCATAATCGCACTGTCCTGCCATAAGCACTTTATAGTTGGTCCAGTCGGTGTCCCATGTTAGAGGTTATCAACAGATGTTCTAAGCTGAAACTTCTCAGCAAGACTCAGGGTTTCTTTGAGGCCACGGAGAACTGGCAGAGCAGTTACTGAAGCAATTCTTACAGCTGGCACTGATAGAGACTGCCTTCACTTCCACAGGCAATACTTGGAACCTCCTCTGACATTTCGCTAGCCCTGAGACATGGCTAGCTTCTCTGCAAGACTCTGAGCTCTGGGAGAGAAGGGACAAATCTGCATGTCTCACAGAGACAGCACCAAAGCAGTTAGAATCTGGTTAGCACTTGCTGGATGTTATTTCAGTCCCCACTGAAATGGGGACTGCCATTTCAGAATAAGTTTGTAGTGCTCAGGATATTTAGGTATTGATGTATAAAATGGAAGCTGCTATTCGTGTGTGTGTGTGTGTGTGTGTGTGTGTGTGTGTGTGTGTGTGTGTGTGTGTGTGTGTGTGTGTGTGTGTGTGTGTGTGTGTGTGTGTGTGTGTGTGTGTGTGTGTGTGTGTGTGTGTGTGTGTGTGTGTGTGTGTGTCCAGGGCTTGAACTCAGAGCCTGGGCACTGACTCTGAGTTTATATACTCAAGAGTAGCATTCTATTATTTGAACTACAGCTCCACTTACTGTTTTTTTGTTTTTTGAGACAAAGTCTGACCAAACTGGTCTCAAACTTACAATTTCTGCCTCAGCCTCCTAACTACTGGAATACTGAAATTACAAGTGTGTGCTATTATACTCAACTCAGAAAATGTCATCTTTAGCTTTTGATTTGCTTCCCCTTCAGGTGAATACTCGAGAAGAAGTTGAAGATCTCTGCCGCCTAGACAATATGATAGATCTGATCATTCCTCGCGGCTCTTCCCAGCTAGTCAGAGACATCCAGAAAGCTGCAAAGGGAATTCCAGTGATGGGACACAGTGAAGGGATCTGCCACATGTTTGTGGATTCAGAGGCCAGTGTCGACAAGGTCACCAGACTTGGTGAGCTGGACAGAATCTACCATGTAGTGAGGGCGAAATAGTGAAACCTTCTATGCCTGTGGATTGTGTACACTGATAGAATTCTTTGCTCTTCTTCTTTCAGTCCGAGACTCTAAGTGTGAATATCCAGCTGCCTGTAATGCTTTGGAGACTTTGCTGATCCATCGGGATCTGCTGAGAACACCGCTGTTCGACCAGATCATCGATATGCTGAGAGTGGAGCAGGTAAGGGACCCAGGACCACCACTAGGACATCTCCTCCTGTCTATGAAACTAGACCACGAGCAGCCACTTCACGCAGTCTCAAGCCTATACTTAATATGAAGTTCTGAGTGGGTAAGACATAGCCCACCCTCAGGCAGTCTGGTGGTTGGGCCAAACATACAGTCAGATCAGCTATCAAAATGTAGGACCTTCTGTGCCAGGAGGGGTCAGAGGTAAGATGGCACAGACTGAGTACTGGCTTTCTGCCCATCTTTTATTCTAGTAGCAAAGTTGATGTTTTCAAGCAGACATTCGTTTTTTTTTGAGTTTCATTTAAAGATTGTGCAGAAATGTTTTCAAATTAAAAATTTGTATGTATTCACGCTCCCCCAAAATGCCTTCTATTACTAATATTTATGTCCTTAATGCATGATATTTGGGGTCAGCAATTTGTGTACTGTCCCCTCTGGACTATATTTGTACCAGGCACTAAGGTAGTAGACAAACCATGCAGTATGTTTATTTCAAACATAAATGTGTGCTCTGTCCTGCATTCATGACTACGAAGTAAGAGAAGTTTTCAAGGCAAAATGGGCAATCTGTTCAACTTCCTGCATGGATGCACTTCCAACTGAACAGCCAGTGCCATGGCACAGTATGGAATTTAGTGGGCTAGCGCAGCAATAGGCAAGGTGCTTACTGGCCTTGGTTGTTTGACCCTTACATGTCTCTTCCTTTCTGTTCTGTTGCTGGAAGAGAAGGCTCCAGTCTGCTTAGAGATATGGCATGGTCCCAGTGAGGATGAGGATGTAAAAGAATTGTTTTGAAAATGAAAATGCACCCAACAGTAAAAGAAAGTTCAATCACATGCTCCCTCACATTAGGACTCCTGTTTTATATTACCAGTCCATTTGGCGGGGTATTTATGGGTGGCCAAGTACCAGTGAACTCAACTGGACAGGAAGAAGGCTCTCTTTGGGCCAGGACCAAGCTCCTGGTCTTAATATGAACAAGCCTTTCCTATCCTCAGTCATCAAAATGAGGATTGCCTTGAAATGCCTCAACCCAAAATAAGTTAGTGCAGCGCCTTTGTGGGCAGGAGGGAAAGCCCACACATGTCTTGATTGGGGATAGGAAACGTTGTTGGGTTGTAGCTCTGGAGGGAGTAGGGGTCCCAAGTTAGAAATGTATCTGAGATCAAGCTTTAAAGCAACAAGGACAACTCAGACACCATTTGTTAACATTGGAATCAAGGCAAGAGCTTTACCCAAAGAATCTAGACGTGCACTATGTCAGACACAAGGCCTCAATGGGGTCAGTCCTGTGCCCAGCAGTCAGTCAGCATCTGAGGATCCTAGTACTCCTAATAGGAGCAGGGGCAGTGTAACAGTGCACAGCCTGGAGCTCACTGAGCCAGCTAGAAATCTGACAGGGACCTAGTGTTTGAGGTATTATCTCAAGCTCTGCTTACTTCCAAAACCAGGCATGAGTGGCTCACACCTAGCTACTCAAGAGGGTAATACTTGGGAACATGGAAGTTTGAAGCCCATGACATTCCATCTCCATTTTTAGCAAGAAGCTGTGCCAGAGATGTGGCTCAAATGGTAGATCACCAGCCTTGAATGAAAAATGAATAAGAGCACAAAGGTCCTGAATTCATGCCCCAGTACCTGCACAAAATCACCACAACCCCTAGGGCTTTTCCAGGGTATAGAGAGTAGACATGCATGTATGTGTTGTGTGAGTCCAGTAGCTTGCTCCTACACTGCAGGGAATGGGCGCTTTATAGTGAAGTATGTCAAATGCCAGAAGTTGAGGGCTTATGTCTCACACACTTGTAATACTCAAATACTCCTGTTTCAGCTTGAAGGCCCATTGCTGGCTAGTGGCCAGCAAGCCCTCAACCCAGCAGGGCGCACGCAGTGGCAGCAAGCAGCAAGGCACTTCAGTCCTTCCGGCCCCCAGGGCTATTCTGGGCTGCATCACCCAGGCCCTGCTGCTTGTTTGTTTCTGTAGTGTTTATGTTGTGGTCCCTGGACTCCCTCTGTTCCAGGTAAAAATTCACGCAGGCCCCAAGTTTGCCTCCTACTTGACCTTCAGTCCCTCAGAAGTGAAGTCACTCCGGACAGAGTACGGGGACCTGGAACTGTGCATTGAAGTGGTGGACGGCGTCCAGGAAGCCATCGAACACATCCACAAGTATGGCAGCTCTCACACGGATGTCATCGTCACAGAGAATGGTCAGTGTGCCAATACTCACTCCAGCCCGGCTCAATTTGTCCACTTCAGATCTGTGGGTGGTCTGCAGCTCTCAGGCCCTGGGGCCTGCAGGAAAACAGTCCCACACACTGCCACAATCGCATTTAGTGCTTTGTCAAGTGCTTTCACATGTGCTGTTTCTTTATTTTGCCCCACCATCCCTCAGGGAGGCAGGGCAGGGATGATTAGCAGCACTATGAACAATGTGTTGGAGAACTTGGCATCTGTATCCATGCACTATCTTGCAGGTAGTTAAAAGAACCCATTCCACAGCTAAGGAAAGCAAGGCCCTGGAAGGTAAGGACAGAAACAGTTCTGCATATTTATTCTCACCCTGCAAATAACATATTAGGGACAGTCCAGGTGTCAGGGCCTTGAGATTTGGTGGTGAAGGAAACATATGGTCCCAGAGGTATTCATAGCCAGTTCACTGGAGATCGTAACCACACCACCAGTAACAGCTGCTAGCATTTACTGAGCACTTACTGTGAGTGCTCCCGAGTTCCCTCTTACTTCATCCTCTCGTACCTGCACACCATGTGACCAAGGTAATGTCCATCCCTCTTCACTCAGGCACAGAGATATTCAGACACCTGGACCTTGCAGGCAACACAGGACAGGGGCAGGCTTGGCACACCTCTGGGACTGATGGTGGTGCTTTGCCATCTTCTTCATCAAGCCTTTCCCTGGAGAACACAGGAGGCTCCCGGCTGGCCTAGACCCTCCCAGCTCTGTCCCTGGGGAGTGACCGTTCTAATTCAGTTTCTCTCCACCCTGCAGAGAAAACAGCAGAGTTCTTCCTCCAGCATGTAGACAGTGCCTGTGTGTTCTGGAATGCCAGCACTCGCTTCTCTGATGGCTACCGCTTTGGGCTGGGTAAGAGGGACGCATGGGGGAAGAGGAATGAATCCCTTTTCACTGTGGTCCCAGGATGGTGGCGAGCTGGAAACACCTCCCCATACTCCCTCTTCTGTGACGAACATGATAGAGACAGACAGGCAAGGCAGGGAGAATATTCATTACCCACATTTCCTTTTTCATACACGGACACAAGTCAAAGCCACAAAATAGTTTGCCTCAAATCCCACAAGTTGTGTTCAGATTGCTCTCACCCCCGTACAAGCAGAGCTTGTCTTGTCTTTGTGCACAGACCATGACAGATACACATGCCACGGTCCTTTGACAACACTGCCATTGCAGACTAACTGCTTCGGGGTGCCTGTGAGATAGGAACTGCAGAACAGCACAAGACGTGCACTGAGTCTACACACCAGCATCAAAAGCCCATAGGTAGAGGGTTGTGATCTAGAGTGCATGCATTCTCCAGCACCAACACACACACACACAGAAAAGCTCAAGGTCAAGGTAATGTCTACAACAGTCTTTGAAATGAAAATCTTAGATAGCCTTCTCCCTCCTGCCATTATCTATGCCAGTTCTCTATAGTGTACAGGTTATTTAGGCCATCTAGTTGTCCTAGGGTACTCTTATACTAAACTCCATTAAGACATTTATGACTCACTTTGAATAGATAATCTGCCCAGAACAGCCCTTCTCACTGGATTACTAATAGTTATTAAAAGGAAATTTCCCCAGTCATTCTTAGCCACTAGACTGTTCATTCTTGGTTCTCTATTCTGTCTCGTTGGGGCTTTGATGTAATTATCACAGCACTTGCACTGATGTTTGTATCGTGTTCTGAAAAGGAAATAGCCACATACTTGTAAGGGCTGAGTTTGCTGGCACTCAAGTGGGAATCCAGGATGAGAGAAAAGCAAAAGAACACTCCATCATCCTTCCAGCAACTCAGAGTCACGGCCAAAATGCTGGCTCAGTCAAGTTCCTATAAGGCACGTTGAGGACAGGGACAGTTATTTGTGGAGCTTTCACTGTGTCCAACACTGTGCCAAGCACATTGCTTGCATTCTCTGGCTGGGTTCTGCAGAAAGGAATTAATCGGGTTTTGTTTTTTGGGGTTTTTTTTTTTTTTGTCAGTCGTGGGGCTTGAACTCTGGGCCTGGGCGCTGTCCCTCAACTCTTCAGCTCAAGGCGAGCGCTCTACCACTTGAGCTACAGCGCCACTGTTTTTTGGGGTTTTTTTATTTTTGTTTTTTGTTGGTCGTGGGGCCTGAACTCTGGACCTGGGTGCTGTCCCTCAGCTCTTCAGCTCAAGGCTAGCACTCTACCACTTGAGCTATAGTGCCACTTCTGGCTTTTTCTGCTTATGTGGTGCTGAGGAATTGAACTCAGGGCCTCATGCATGCAAGGCAAGCACTCTACCACTGAGCCACCATTCCAGCCCTGGAATTAATCGTTTTTTACTCATTTTCCAGCAGATAAAGCTGAAGCATGAGGGATGAAATTAGTGATGTGCCCAGAATCCCATGGCCTCGGTGTTCTGAAGTCAGAACCTGAGTGGTGCTGACCCTCTCTTGGCCAGCTCCACTGAATACAGCACAGAGCACGAAGCCAGATCCAGGAAACCTCTGGTGTCTCCTGAGGCTAAGCTAGGAGCAAGAGAGAGGAAATGAACAATAACCATTCATGCAAGGAACTGCAAGTGCCCGTGTGTTGAGAATTCAAAGAATATTAAAATCGATCATACCCTCTACTTTTGATTTCTTAAGATTATGTAGGGAAAGCCAGGGATAATCCTAGAAACTCAAGAAGTCTGATGCCAGCTTGGACACAATAACAAGATTGTCCCCTCGTCACTCCCCAGTCCAAGTGAGATGCTAAACTGATGGCAGAGACCATACCTCTAGGCTATCACTGAGATAAAGTACAGAAGAGAGGCCACATACTGTGTAGTTTTGCCATGACTGTAATGACTGAAGCACAGTCTCATGGGAACAGAGGGACTCCAGCTGGCCTGGGAAGGACGGGTGAGGAGTTGGCAGGGAATGAGGGTGTCTGATGAGGAGAATGAAGTGCCGAGCTGTGGGTCTGGTTCAGGCAGAAAGCAGAGCAAGGAAAGAGCCCCACTTTCTCCATGGTTCTTTGCAGGAGCGGAAGTGGGAATCAGCACATCACGGATCCATGCCCGAGGGCCTGTGGGTCTGGAGGGACTGCTTACTACGAAGTGGCTCCTTCGAGGGCAAGACCACGTGGTCTCAGACTTCTCCGAGCATGGCAACTTAAAGTACCTTCATGAGAACCTCCCTGTTCCCCAGAGAAACACCAACTGAGAGCAGCAACTAGGAATGTTCCATGAGGTCTTTACACTTTGACTAGTCGATAAGCCCTCTGGGAGTGAAGCCAGACCTTCTCCCTACCTCCTAGAAGGGTCTGCCCATTGGGAAGGGCACCTCAGTACTTCTGGCTCAATTTGGTACTGTCAGTCTTGGTATTCTCCATTCCAGTCTTTAGTAAAGAGAGTGATTGCTACAGATGGGTCCTTTACTTCCCTCAGTCCAGTTCCCTCCCTTGGTAGAAACAAAGGCCCGGTTTCCTTCGGGAAAACCCTGACTGCTTTTTATCACCTCAGTGAGGTCAAATCTCTCGGCATGTGCTAGCTCCTAGGGCTGCCCTCCCTCCTAAGTTTCCACATTTCAGTTCATCGCTGCCACACACGGTCATCTTCAGTCGTAGAAGAGGGACAGCTCTTCTTAGGATTCTCAGCAGAAATAGTGACTGAATGAACTGTTATTTCCACCAGGAAGATTGGCCTCTATGTGTTGGTGGGGTAGGTAAATAAACACGTCAGACATCCAGAACCAGGAGGCACCCCGGGCCCATGACACATTTGTAACCTGAGCTACAGACAGTTGAGACGAGTTCCAGGGTGTTCTACCAAGTGGGAGGAATATCCACAGCAATTATGCCTGAAATTTTTATATGAATTATTTTGTCATCCTGTCCTTTTCCTCCAGAACAAAGATTACAGGATTATTTTAATACTTTGGATTCTTCTCCCCACCTCTACTCCTTTTTTTTTTTTTTTTTGAGAAATAAAGTTCTTATGAAAAGCCTGTGTGCATGATTTTTTTCCTTATTTGTCCTTGCCCAAGACAGCCCCTTCCCTCCCCAGTGGCCCTCCACACTTTGGCATTTTCTGTGCTCTGGAAATTGGCTAAGAAAAGAGAATCTGCAGATGCAGCTGAGGCAAAGAATGCAGGAGAGGGAACCCCAACAGCCTGGAGGCTGGGGGTGTGGTGATGGTCTGAGGCCTGTGGGTTGTGTCCAGCCCTGGTCCTAGCTGACATCCTCCTCTGCCTGTCCTGCTACCTCAGGATCAGCTGACAGCTCTGCCCCTCCCCTCCTTCCCCTGGCTCCTGTCTTTTAGGGTCTGTGGTGCCCAGCAGTCTGCGGCTAGAGCACTTTTTGTCTCATGGGGACCCTCCAAAAGAAATACGCATCGCAGACATGTTACTGCTTATCCACTGGGGATGTTTTATAAGCACAAGAATTACGGTGTCATGTGGAACATGTTCCCAGGATGGCTTCAAACTCTACCTCTCATCCAGACCCTTACATGGTCTGGCAAGTCTCCCACCCAGCCTGCCCTACCCTGTGCAGAGAATTCTGGCATAGCTTGCCTGAAAAGGCAATAAACAAGGTCGTGCAGAAACTATATTGCAAATGCCACAACAGCTCCCCACCAGACAACACATGCCCCAGGAGTCTAAAATAGAAAGCAGCCCAAGAGAGCTGCAGCCCACAGGGAAGACCTGCAGAAGGCAGGCATGGAGCTGGGCCCTGAGAAGAAAGCCTGGTAGTGATGAGTGGGCAGGCTGCCTGGCAAGCAAAGATCTGGGGGTGAGGATAAAACTGACAGGAACAGAGAAACTGGGGAGCAGAGGGTATAGCAGGTCATGAGTAAACAGGAAGGTAACATCTTGGACAGCAGTATTGGCAAACCTCTAGTGGAGCCCTCTGTTCTGGTGGCATGGTTTGGGGTTTGGCCTGGAAAGACTGGGCCATCAGCATTCTCCCTTTATCCACAGAAGCAAAGAACTTCTAAGGGGATCCAGGGCAGCCATAGTTTTGCAAGTAGTTACACTCATACTCGCTAGAAAGATGCTTTGTGTTCTGAAATCCTTCCTGTTCTTGTCCAAGCTGCCAACTCCTAATAACACATGTCACCAAACTAAATCCTGAGATTTCCCCCTCCCACACCAAGGGCAAATCAATACATAAACCTTCTGGAATATGTAAAAGTTCATAGTTTTACATGGGTTTATATTTTCTGTTGAAGTATCTGAGCTACACATTAGTATGAAGACACTGATTAGCTGGGCAGCCAGGGTTGAATTAGGATAGGTGGTGTTTGCTTTATACGTCCCTTATTCTGTAGTGTGCCTGTCCAGTCGGTGTAGTCAGAACGGGGATACTGCTCTCCCCTACTCTGCTGAATCACAGTTCTCCATTCTCTGCTTATAGTGATTACTTCAGGACTGGCCAACAACATGCCAATTAAGGTTTTATTTGGTTATGAGAAAACTGTCTTCCTATGAGGCCCAGACTAAGTCTCAAAGAGGATGCTGGGATGTAAGCTGGTGGTATAGCACCACCTGTGCATGCACAAGGCCCTTGCTTTGTTGTTCAATACTTTAAAATCCTGCCAAGTATCCAACACACACACAGCTGGGCACCAGTCCACTCACACCTATAATTCTAGCTACTCAAATAGGAGGATTGAAGTTCAAGAGCAGCTCAGGCAAAAAGTTCATGAACCTCCATCTCAACCAACAGCTGGGTACAATGATGTGTGGCTCATCCCCAGCTATGTGGGAGACAGGTCTGGAGGATTAGGGTTCCAGGCTAGGCTGAGCAAAAAAGTTTTACTCATCTCAAGAGAAAAGGCTGGGAGCCAGGTGCCAGGCGCCAGTGGCTCACACCTGTAATCCTAGCTACTCAGGAGGCTGAGATATGAGGATCTCGGTTCAAAGCCAGCCCAGGCAGGAGAGTCCATGAGACTCTTATCTCCAATAAACCACTCAGAAAACTCGAAGTAGCTCTGTGGCTCAAATGGTAGAGTGCTAGCCTTGAGCTGAAGAGCTCAGGGACAGTGCCCAGTCCCAGAGTTCAAGCCCCACAACCAACAACAACAACAAAAGAATAAGCTGGGTAAGGTGATATATGTCTATATACCCCACTTCATAAATGGTTCTACTAATATTAGGTATGGCCCTGGCACAAAGCAAGCACTCAATGAAGGAGAGTTGGTCGTCTATGATCCCCAGTTGGCTCTGTTCTCCAGGAGAAACCAGGTTTTTGTTACCTGTGAAGCTCTGTTCAAAGCTGGAACTTCTTATCCCTGCTGTGTCTGCTCACCAGGCCAGCCTTGCCCGCTCCATGAGCAGTGAGGAAGAGAGCGCAGGCCTTTAAGCACGTGAGGTGAGTGGGTGGCTGTTATTGAGAGCAGGAGGCAACAGAGAACCTATTTTGAGCCTGAGAAAGAGGTGAGTGCTGGTGACAGCCCCTGAAAGAGGAAAGGTGATTCTGGGAGGGGTTGGGGAGGAAGCAGGCTGCTGAACTTCAGCTTTGGGAGCAAAGATACTGGGTTTCTGGTTAATTATGCATATGCACTAGCATATAATATAAAATAAATGCAGTGGATGCCCTCAAGTGAAAATTCTCATTTAAGTCTCTAAGCAAACACACAGGCTTTGTATATTTGATCAAGTGATCTGGAAATCTTAACAAGCTAAGACTTTCTATTTGTTAATTTTTTTTTTTTTTTACTCAGGGACAAATGTTTGTGCCATTATTACTCAAATGCTTCTCAGGTGTAAGTGGAACATATATTTCCGGGTTGTATTTTGTGCCTGGTTTGGGGAGATTGTCTGTTGCGGTAACTACAGCTGGGACAAGCAACAGAAACTCCAGCTGAAACTTGGTGGTTTTGTTGTTGTTGTTTGTTTGTTTGTTTTTTCCAGTCCTGGGGCTTGAACTCAGTGCCTGGGCACTGTCTCTGAGCTTCTTTTGCTCAAGGCTAGCACTCTATCACTTGAGCCACAGTGCCACTTTTCTGGCTTTTTCAGTTTATTTGGTACTGAGGAATCGCACCCAGGGCTTCATGCATGCTGGGCAAGCACTCTACCACCAAGCCACGTTCCCAGCCCTGAAACTAGTTTTAATAAAATCCAAAACGTATTTGTCCATACACCTGCTTGTGTAAGTCCAGAAGTATATTGTTTAGGTATGGTTTGGGCAGTAGTTCTCAAACTTTAGAGTTTTCTAAATTAGCTGTAAGGATTGTGAAAATGTTTAGTCAATACACCTGGCATAACAGCTTGAGATTTTTGTGCCCAGTAAGTTTCTGGGCACTGCTACTGTGACTGCCATTGTTCCAGGTCCATACTTTTGGGATGTTTGGGAGGTAATTAGGTTTAAATGAGACCCTGAGACCAGGGCCCTCATGATGGAGTCAGTTCTCTCCTAACTTGAGATACCACTGAGAGCTTTACCTACACCATGTGAGGACATAGCAAGAAGACTAGGCTGCCTGCCACAAGCTGGACACCAAACCCTCACCAGGACCCAAACCAGCCAGAGCCTTGACTTGGATTTCCAATTCATTTTGGACTTCCCAAGCTCCAGACTATGAGAAGTAAATTTCTGTTCTTTGAACTACCCAACTGCTGTGCTCAGTTATGGACAGTCCAAAAAGTGTGACACAAGGAGCACGGATTTGGAGGACTGGCCTTTCAGAAATGGAGTCATGTATTCCAAGCAAAAATGATGTGTAGGAAGAGCATGCATTCTGGACTTAACGTGAGAATGCATTGCCTTTTGTAAGTCGTGTGAACTTTACGAAATTACTTGTACTGAGATGAACCTAATTTCTTTCTTTAGAACAAAGGAGACAACTACTACCTACCTTAAAGGTTTCCTGTCAGGAGAACATCAAGTAGTAGAGCAGATGCCTGACAGCTCATGGGAGGAGTGTCACTAGGGTTGGCCACGATGCTGCCATCTGGCGCACCTGTGTCTCCCACTGAGCCCACTGATGAGCCATGTGTACAGGTGCCATTCAGTCCGTGTTGAAAAGGACACCTGGGACAAAGGGATGATGAGGAAGAAGCCTTTCCTGAGATCCATGGATCATTGGAAACACCAGCTGGAGGCTGGCAGCCTACAATTATCTACTGTTTCTTTGACTTCATCTTGTCCTTACAAGCTGAGAAGTGCGTTGCTCTTAGCTGTGAACTTGCCCTGTCAAGTCTCTTGTAGTGGAAGATAGTTACAATGTCACTCTTCTTCTAGTGCTTCGGCAAAAATCAACGAATAACTTTACTTTTAAATTAGTGTATATTCATCATACAAAAAGGCTGTAGTGTAATATGTCTATACCTACAAATAATGTGCTTTGACCAAATTCAACAGGAGGGGGTGTCATTGCTACAATAATATTACCTTCTTATCCTACGTTCCCCCTCTAAAAGATTCTATTTCCATACATGCATGTAAAGTAGTAATAAACCATTTTATAACCACTCATAAGGGAAACATTTAAGTAAGCAGACTTCTACTTTTACTAAAAATGAGATTTAAAACTTTCTTCAGTATTCAGTGAGCACCTACTATATGCCAGATACTGGGAGGGGCTGGAAGCCATTCCTCCCACTCAGTGTTCAAAGCTTAACCTGTCTGAGACTGCCACTCTAACCCCAGATAACTCTCTCCAAATCACAGCACCCACTGCTTATTCACCCCCATTCCTAGGAGAAACTGTGAATAGGAAGGCACTAAGTTTACCTTCCTTCGCAGGAAGGAAAGAGGCCACAACACAAGCGCAGGGGAAAAGCGCCATCCTGCCCCAGGACGACTCTAACGCTAGAGGGCAGTCTGGCCCCATGGAGCTGAGGAAGCCTGTCTAAGGAGGGCCCAGAGCTCCTCCTTAACTGGAAGTGAACTGCTGGCACAGTAAGAGATCTTCCAGGGACCCACTTGCAGGCATCAGAAGAATAGGGGCTTAGGTAGATAGGGTCTCAATCTGGATTCCAACACCTTTTAGCTGTTTGAC